GTACTTGAATCTCTCCGTGATTAGATTCATTTAAGTCTATATCTAATGGTTCATGTACAAAATGTACAAAGTTGTCTAAGAGGGCTGTGAATGATTTTCAATGCTAATTGCAAGGTTCACGCAGTGCAAATACCCACACCCTGCATAAGGGTATGTAAACCCAAAGTTTCAGGATGTTAAATGGGTGTTTCTTGATTTTACTTGCCGATATCATCTACGTTTTTATACAGAAGATCATCGTTGTCACAATCTTTTAAATTATGTGCGAGATATTTTATAATCTCAGAAAACCTGTACGTCAATTCCAAGTTAAATATTTTATCCTGTTCTCCGTCAGTGATGCATGTTGTGTGTCCTTTGTCTGTTTAAAAAAATGAAGAACTTTAAATTCATTAACGAAGAATGGAGTAACCTTTTTATTTTGATTATATTTCACAACATACGATAATTAGTAGTGAAGAGACTTTATTATTGCTTTTGAAATGTACGAGAAATCCTGTACACCAAATTTGTAATTCAAATTTATATTTCCGAAGAACAAAGCTTATGTAATTTGTAAAAAAAAAATCAAATCAAATCAATGGCAAATCCATGCAGGGTATACGTATCTACCAAAAATCTTATTACATCTTTGTTACAGATAATAGTTTTCCTATCTGATGAATGAAGTGTTCAAGTTATATAAATATTTAGGACTAATTATACTGTGTAGTCATTGTATGATATATATATATGGTAAACCTCCGGTCAGTTCGAACAAAATTAAATAAATATTGTTTAACCTGTTCGAAATATAGTAAATTGTAGCCGCCAAAATAAGCGCGAGTTCGAATTATCAGAGTGATAAATTGAATCATGAAATGGGGACAGTTCGCAGAAAATGGCCAAATGTTAATATCGATTTTCATTAAACAGTAATGTAAGCTTACACCCGCATAGCTTATAAATAATTTTCGAGTAAAAACAAAACAAAATAATTTATCATTTTTTATAGCACAGTAGCTAGGCTATTAAGATACTTCAACGTTCCATGCTCCGTACTGATCGGATGATATACATAGTTTGGGGCCTCACGTTGAATAGCAGGTTAACTGGAGAAGCAAAACATCGCTGAAAACATGTGGAATATATGTACGAGTGTTCTTGAACATTTGACTGAGATGGTCAAACATACAGATTTTAAATACAACCTGTTACCCCAACGATGCTGTCGACGTGTATTGTTGACCAAGGCGAGCGATTTTGCGAGACAGGCATTTTGAATGCCGATACTTCAAATTAGATTCACCGTTACCCAAACTTCGTACGATGTGTTCGAACTATCTGAAATGTTGATAAGGCGGGTTCGAACTATAACTAGACAAACAATTATTGTTTTTATTGTAAAAAAGGTGTGTTCGAACTATCCGCCTATTCGAACTGACCGGATGTTTACCGTATATATCTTACCACTACAGAACAAAGTTGTTGGCAAAAGTATATATTTGAGTGTTTCATTTAACTAAATCTATGAAATAAATATGTTAACTGAAAATATATTATTTTCTGTATGTGTGTATGTATATAATAGTGGTCACATGCCTTGATGAAAAATACAAGACTTGATTTGAGCTCATGTAATTAATGTTTTCAAACATAGAGCAGAGCAGGCATAACAATTTAAAATGTTTTACTTCAAAAAGGTTTCTGAAAAGTCTAAAATATGGGCACCCTCTGAAGTTATGCCATATATGTAAAGGAGGCCATATTTGGTTGGTTTATAACAAATTAATCTTGCATAAAGTGTAATCTCTGTGACAGAGGTAAAAAAAATTGATATGTGTTAGATTGATATTTAATAAAAATCAACATTTTGTTCAGTAAATAAAGTTCATAAAATTGCTGGAGGGTAAAATTACTTGCATGCATGATAGATGACAAGATACTGAAGTTATCACAAGCCATAAAACCAGCCCCAACTAGTCTTCATGTCTACATTTCGTAAATATCTACCCCTGACTAAAGACTTAAGCTTGCTGAGACACTGTGTCCTTAGATTGTTGGTGAGACTTATCTATACAGTAAAATCTGTATTTATACACGACACCATCTTGGTCATATCATAATAATCACATTTATTACCAGCCTGATCATGCAGTGACATCTTGAAAAAAGGGACATACAAAAATTGGAAAGATTTTAACCTGTCTTATCTAAAACCCTATGGAACACCACATATTGGTCAGATTTACCTGTCTAATCTGACACCCTGTGGGACATAACATACAGTACAGTAAAACCCATCTAATCTGACACACTGGAGAACATAACATTGGTCAGATTTACCTGTCTAATATGACACCCTGTGGGACACAACATATCTGTCAGATTCAGCTGTCTAATCTGACACCCCGTGGAACATAACATAATGGTCAGAAAAGACAGGTTCCACTGTATTTTCCTTGATTGAGATATTATGTTAGAATCAATTAAGCCACATGAAGTGCTTGAAATGTTTTTAAATTTTTCGATGCACCTGGTTATGGCTTTTGTTTCAGTGTCTCATTTCCTGGTGTTGTCATTTCATATCAAATTTAAGTTTTGATTTTGTCGTTTTGTGCTAATGATGACAAAATATGAGAACACATTTGAAGTCATATGGAAAAAGCTAAGTTTAATTTTGAGAGAAAGAATGTACATTTGTACAGTGAAACCCCACTATATAACTCACCAGATGGTATACCGGAACTATAAATACGTAGGTAGAAATTTAATAACTTGTGAGTGATGTTGTCTGATGTGACAAACTGATATCCCTCAGGTGGAACAAATACTGTGTACCTCACCTGTACAGTATAGCATTACATGTTGTGTGTGCCCACCAGCTGTCGGCCTGTAGTGTATACACCCTACCTGTGTAGTCATCACTATTCTTAGACTAATCAAAGCAGGAAATCAGGTGTGAAACAACCTTATTTTAAAGTCCATGTACTGGTATAGGCTGTACATATATTACGTCTTGACCAATTCAGCCCAGACTCGCGAACAAACATATTGGCAAATGTCTTTTTAAGTAACAGCTGGCTTTCATACCATTATTAAACATGAAAAATATGGATGTTAGTCAATAATTTTGCTCAAAATAAAGAATTTCGTTTATTTTTAACCTTCAGTTGGTTTTGTGTGGTTCAAGATGCATTAGAAACCAACAGTTTACCAAATGTTGTAATCACCATGTTAAGGTCATGTTTTCTATATCAAGTTACCATTCATGTTCGTGAATTTCTGTTAAAGTTAGAATTTGACGTCATGACAAGATGAATGGTCTCCAATTACTGTTACAGTATGATAGAACGACCGGAACATTTTCTAACGAGAAAATATTCATATGTGTGTGTAATAATATATATATACTGATATGTATTAGGGTTTTTTGTTCTCATTGTCAGATATACCCTCTTTATGTTGTATTTATCCAGCAATAAGCCCATGCCTGGTATGACGCCCGCCCATGTCAAATATAATTCAGTAGAAATGCTAACAAATGTCCTACAATAAGCCCACCCCCCTACTTTAACTCATTCACCCCTGAAATTTCATAATGAACTATTCCAACCTTTGAATTGGAAGAGTCCAAATGTGTCTTCAGGGGTGAATGAGTTAGTAACAGACTATGTATTTGCCCTGGTACACTGGGTTTATTGCAGAATAAGTATGGTATATATATATTGTATTGTGATTTCCATACAAAATTTATGGCTGGTACTGTTTTCCACCAAATAATCACCCCTGAAATTATTAACACACCTTAGTCTTTTTCGAGTCCAAGCTTTGCATCCTTTCACCATAATTTACTTACTTTGTTATAAAAAATAGAAAATGTGTTAAATTTTATAGTTCAGGCAATTGTTTTGGAAAGTTTTATAAGGTTGTGTCATCATTATAATTTCTCTGAATTGATTAGCACTCAGGGTGTTTATTAGGTGAATTACAGTAAGTTTATGATATGAGGCTGTACCGCAGACTTATTAAAGTTGAAATGCTGTATGTAGTTAATATACATGTATATAGAAAATTTACAGTGAAACCTGCGATAGCTGGCATGAACACACACATGTATTATGGACCAGTATTTACATTCTCAATACACAGGTTTTTATTAAAATTATCTAGGGTTCTAATAATATGCATTTTTCAGATTATAAATAGACTACAAACAGCTTTCAAGATCCTCTATTAGATCATTCACGTTTGAAGACACATTTGAACTATTCTAATTCAAAGGTTGAAATAGATCATTATGAAATTTCAGGGGTCAGAATGTGTTAAAAATGTGTCTGGAAACACATTGAAGACTAACAATAAAATTTGACCCAGAAAAAACAGTGTCCATACAATAAAATTTGAACCAGAAAAAACAGTGTCCATACAATAAAATTTGACCTAGAAAAACAGCGTCCATACAATAAAATGCCATTCAAAGTCTCTTAAACGGCACAAAAAATGAAAGAAAACATTTTTTTCTTATAGGTCAAAATATGCAAATGAGAAAAGTATTATAATGTTGATTTTGAATATTTAACAATGGCTGTCAGCCAGGAACTGAAGCCAACACTTTGTACTCTGTGTATTATATATGTACGATGTATAAATATCAACTTGGAGGTTTATTATGGTCCTGAACAATCTTAGGTTATTCTAAAACTGATGTGTTTTTGACTTTTTTACATAGGTTCCTTCAATGACCAAGATAATTTGCATATAAAAAAGTGTAAAATTTCCTGAGTCATCCTAAGTTTCAGCTTACAGATATTTTGTATGTGAGTACCTCTTAGAATAACAGAGTGTCACAAATTGAAATCAAGCCTCGTACCCCACAACATTTGTATATACAGAGTTACTGCCCTTTGTTCATTTTTTGAGTTTTAACATATTGCATGCTATAATTTGTATTGATGAAATTATGTTAGACATTTAATATAAATGCATTAATTCTAAATATTTTCAATTCTTAATTCCAGTGAGTTTTCATTCAGACGAAAACTAACCTCCAACTCCGGATGGGACGAAAATACTGTCAGCTTTGTTAAATCGGAATTCACCAAATATGGTTTGGACAAAATTAGTGTTGAGGAGTATGATGTTGTCGTCACCTATCCTAATCCTGTTCAACCCAATAGGTTAGAGGTCATCACCTCAGCAGGCCAGGTCAAATTAAATTTGACCTTTGGTTCAGGTCAGAGGTCAAGTGTCGACAAAAAAAAGCGGGGTGCTGATGATGTGGAAGAGATGAGAAAACACCTTGTTGAGCCTTATGTAGCATTTGCTCCCTCTGGAACTGTACAGGTATATATTGAGCTATTTAAATTCATGGGACACTAGTTTTGTGATAATTTGCCAATACATAGATCAGATTTCATATATAATAATAATAATAATATACAACATTTTATATAGCACCCTATTTAGCTAGAATAAGCCACTCTAAATTGCTTTACAGTACATAGATACATGGTATATTAGTTATATAGTCCCCAACCTGTTTTACTGGAAGAGGGTTTCGGTTTGCAATTCGTCTTAATCTGTCAGTTTGTGTGTCACTTCATGGCATATCTCAAATATTTGTCACCTAAAATTGAAAAAGTTTGTCTTTGAGTACCTATAAGGATATAACAGAGTGTTGTGTGTATAAGGAAATCAAATTGTGTACTTCAATTTATAAATTGTAGCCCTTGGTTCATAGTATGTCGCTTTGGCAGGTGGATTTATAACTTTTATTCTCTGTCAACTACAGTTGCTAATTTCGAATGTAATCACCCTTTAGGATGGAAGAGTGTTGAGAACTAAAATCAGGTCTCATGCCCTAATATACAGAGTTATTGCCCTTTGTTCAAACTTTGTCCAGAGGTTTGGGACCTATGATTTAACGCAATAACTTGTCTTGTTTACATTGTTTCATTTTGCTTGTCAGGGTGCCTTGGTGTATGGTCACTATGGACGGATGGTTGACCTTGTACAGGTCAACAAGAGTGGTGTCACACTCAAGAATAAGATACTCATCCTCAGGCTCGGCAAACTGGCAGTCACAGAAAAGGTAAGAATGGTCTAATTGTGCCAAAGTTCAAATCTCAACAGAGCGGTCAAAACTGCAAAATGGGTTAAAACTCCACTATGAATACGGGACCATGAAATATGAGTGCCATATTGTGTGTGGTAGCTTTGCTGTAATGATCCGTTTCTAGTTATCTATTTGATCTTAATATGACTTTACTATTGTTCAAATAAATGACCTTGAGGTAATTTCAAGGTCACAAGTGTCAAATTTGTGAAATTATTCCTGGACTTCTCCTTAAGATCCATAAAGCCTAGAGTAATTGAATTGTTTTATAGCTCAGTTAAATAAGGGATATGGAATCTGCTTAAATAAATGACCTTGACCCACTTATTAGGTTGTAAGGGCTAAATGTGTTTGAATCTACATGATATCAAGTTAGTTGAAATAAATTTGACCTTAACTCATTTTGAAGGTCACATATGAAATATGTTGGTGAATGGCATTGACTAAAATAGGTGAGTGATGCAGGCCTATTGAGCCTCTTGTAACTTTCTAACTGTCTGGACTTATTTGTGAATGCCAACTCTTCTAATATTGATATAAAGGATCTGGAACACTTTCTCGGTCATAAAACAAATCAATTGTTAGAAACGTCAAACAATCACTTCCTGTATTACCCGCCATAAAATACAGGATAAGGAAGATCGGCTCTATGTAAGATTATAAAACCCCAGATCAGCCGTGTACTGTGTACTGTCTCTGCCATGTTGTAGCGTTCCAAGTTCCCATTACACAGAGACCGAGTATCATAGGGTTAAGTAACTAGTGTTGGTCAATATTGATCATAGCTTCTACAATGATCGTGGAACATGCCACATGCTTTGTAAATATCATCATCATATGCAGTTCTAGTCAATTCAAAATGATCAAGATAATTAAGGAGAAGGAATTGATCCAACACAGGGCAGTTTTGTCTTTAGAAACATTTTATAACTTTGTCTACCATTATGTATTATTCAAAACTGGATTTTACAAAAAAATGCAATACTTTGTGTGATAACATTTTTTGTGCTTGTCTACCATTATGTATTGTTCAAAACTGGTTTTACAAAAAATAGTAATAAGAGTATTTGTGTAGAGAGGGAGAAAGAAGGTAGCCCTTACTCCATGTCCAATTCCGTCGGTTATAAAGTTAAAAATTATTTCATTTTAACTTTTTGCTGTCCATCAGATGGGATACAAATTAAAACATGGAGAAACATTCTTAAACCTAATGCCTTATGTGACACTCACAGACAATATGACGCTTGTTGCCATTGTATTTGAAATAAATGTTTTGTGTATTATAATGACTGTGCAAAATCGCAAACAGCAACTTGGCATGTGATGAAATTTATAATAAATGAAATGTCTGACAATTGAAAAGAGAACATGAGAGAAGAATAATTTACTGTCAGCATAATTTGTTTTTAAAAATATCAAATCCTGCATGTGGCAAGGGCATTGCTATTACTGTTGAATGTAAAAAGATCTAGATGAAGAGGATTTGTTTGACTGTTAACCCTTTCACCACTGTAGACCATAATGGACTCATCCAGATCAGTGCATGGGAGAGTCTACTAAAGTTGCATAGGGGTGAAAGGGTTAAGGTCTTTTGAACTAAAGGCAGAAATATAATCTTCTGTTATCTTGAATTACAGTTATCGTGATGCACATGTTGCAGTTTTTAATTTACAAAGGGATTCGGGAACACATGTTTTAGTCTTAAAAGAACTTAATCTCTTTAATGTTTTGTCTATATATATGTGATACCATCATCAGCGGGTTATATATTCAGCAGAACTAATTCGGTATGAAAAGCGGGTCGTATGAGAGACAGAAAATCCATATGCATGTAACACAAATGATCAATGATAATAGTTTATCAAATCGTTGTAAAATGGCACGGCAGTGTTTGGATGATCAATAAACGTAACATTCCCGACTTTATGTAAAACAAACATGTTTTGTACCCTCGTACTATTTTTTTCCAGTATTCATAATTTCCTACGATATTGAATAGCGATGTGAGTGACGGGGTAACACCTGGGGGTTAAAGGTGAAACAGATAGGTTTTATCAAGGGAGTAAGTCAGGGTGGCTCTGTACTGCAGCCTTCATTGTAAGAATTAATCCTTTAATATTACATACGTTTTATAAACCGCACACTACGATGTAAAAGTACATCGTTCCTTTAATCTAGTTAATCCACCTCAGATTATTTTGCAATTTTGAGATTATGAACGAAAAATCAAATTGATTTTGTAATTCTAAACGTTTTATATGCTAATTTCGGAGACATCCAAGATTTTTTTTTCTCTATTTACGATTTTGTACTCATCAATATTAATCTTGTTGATGTTTTACCCCGTTGTCATAGAATGAGGATTTTTTTCTGATATCAGTTTATTAGCTCACCTGGCGTGAAGTGCCTGTGATTAAGCTTACGCGATAGCACTGCGATTGTCGTTGTCAGTCAGAATAGAATCGTTTGACATTCAATCGGTGTCAATCAATATAACTGAAAATACAAAACATGAATACAAGTCTTCTTATTCTATAAACATTTATTAACTATTAATTTTAACAAATATGAAAGAGAGGAAATATCAAAACATTAAAATTTCAATTGATTAATTCTTTGATATGAAAATTGATTTCCTTCTTACAAATATTACCAAGTCAAAATGAACCTTTTGAAGGTTTGATTTTAAATTTCTTACATTTAAGAAAAAAAATCTTTCCATGTCACAAATTCTTGAAATGAAAAAATGGAACCAATTCCTTCTCAATTCACTTTATGAGTAATGTACCCCAGTTTGTAAAAGATTAACTTACAAGACTATTTTTCTTTAAGACAGGTATATATTATAGACTATCCTCTAGCTGGCACTCAATGTATATTTGAATTCCCCCACACCCTGTGCAGTACTCGAGATTCACCCCTATTATATTTACACTGCCCTTGAGCTGGGCGATATACTGTAGTGGTTACTTGGATGCGTAATAATCTGACGTCATCAATAGTGTGCATCAAATGTGGTCAATGTTACCTGTTATGTATACTGATCTGGCTGTACTTTTGAATTAAATTGAATCCCTAATGACAGGTTAATTTATGGTTTTATTACCTGGTATGTGGACATGTTAAGTAGCCTGCCATTGTCGGCAAACGACCACCAGAGTGAGTTGGGTACTTGGCCAGTACATGCTGTTGCATGGTTTAGACATGTTATAACTTTTAAGCAGCTGTCAGACTATTTAGTGATATATATGTATATATTGAGTTGTAAAATATTACACTGAAGATCTAAAGTTTTCCTCAAGGCATTAGTTACACTGGAAAAAATAGTTCTTCATGACAGGTGACACTCAGGACAAAGTTACACTGATGCTCTGCCTCAGCCTCCCATTGTCACACTTTTATGCTAGTTAGATCCTTTGTAATATTTACCTCCACATTTGCCCCAACCCTCCCATTACGCTGTTGTTTGATCCCCTTTGTTCCAATATCTTGCATTGTATTTTTGAATTCATATTTATCTCGCCAATGAATCATTTCTTGAAGAAATTAAAAGTATATCTTTCTTCTGAAGATGTATAACTGGTGCCGAAGTATTAATTCTTCTTTGATAAGAAGTTTGTTTAAGCATGTAAGCAAGTACTCTGTAGTTTCTAAGAGGAAAACCATGTGAGATATTGAAAAATATTGTCATTCAATGAATATATAAATTTTAAATATTAAAATTTCACTAATTTATTCAAATTTCAACTGGTTACCATGGCAACCTTAATCGAAAACACTTTGAAATATTTCAATATATTATAATAGTATTAAGGGAAGTATTCAAAATTTGGGGTTGAAAAGGCCTGAACCATGCAAAGTAATTTTTCGACAAAATGGCCATGTCATTGCAATGATGAAAATTCCTTGGTTTTGCATTCCTTCTACTGAAAAGTATTATTGATCAAATAATTACTTAAGATGAAAATTCACAACGAAAAATTTGTTATTTAAGGACACACGGTCCTAAGACCTTCACAAATTCTTAGGTAACTTTTGAAAAAGATATTAGGGTCTATAAATCTCACTGCAAAAGTAATTTAAATTATTTATTAGGTATTTTATTATGGGTTGACATAAGATTAACATTTAAGACTGCCACAAATGTTCCTCAGTCTTTCTACAAGCAGTTGTCTACTGCTGATCGAGTCAAGGTCATTGAGAAAAGCAACTTGATTGGAATAAACTGACATATGGTACATTATCCTGTACTCGCATTGATAATAATAATTTGAGGTTCTTATATACCGCTTTATCACAACCTAGTTCGTAGGTCGTCTCACAGCGGTTCACAAATTATTATCCGTGGTTATAGGGCCTTTGTGACCAGCCAATATCTTTCTTAACTCCTTACGGGAGCATACAGCCGGAACTGCCATTTCAGCACTCACAGCTAGCATTCTACAATTCTAGCACTGCCCAACCAAATACTAATTTACAGCTGTGTAGTCTGGAACAAGCGGAGTAAAGTATCTTGCTCAAAGATACAACACAGTGCCGTGCCGTAACTCGAACCCGCAACCCTTTGGTCATGAGACCGGCGTCATACCACTAGACTACCGTGCCTCCGTTGATTTAAGTTTAAATTTTTTGGTGCAATTACAATTTTAAACGATTTAACTTTATTGATTGAATTTGAATATTTATGATATAAAATATTGTAATGCCAAAGGTCAGTTGGAACATTTTGGCAATGCAATGCCTTACACTGCTGTTATAAGATACAGGTACCAATATAGTGGACCTGGCCTGGGTCGATGATCGCGGGGTAGAGCTCATTTAGTAAACGAAGTGCCAGTATAGAGGGTCTGATAGAGGTCTAGACTGTTGTAGTTTTCCAGCCTTTTTGCAGATCAATGCCTATGACCAAGCCTTTTTGTAAAATTATACTGTGAGTGCCGGGCAAGGGGATACTAATGTAACAGACTGTGCTTTTTAAAGCCAATCTATACTAAGCTGATCAAGAATGACCAGAAACCATGCAATAGTCGGTGGTTGCATCATAGAGTCTATTATTTACTGGTCAAGTATAATTCCCCGACATATCAGTTGTCGGCTATTATCTCACATCTCTACAGATGGTTATACACATTGGTATATCGTATGTTCTCTCCTTCGGATATTCTAGCTAGCGGGACACTCGCTGTTTATGGAGTGATTTTCATTGTACTTTTAGTGCTTCTGTCTGTCTCCTGTGTTCTGATTTACTGCCTTCTCATGAAGCCCATAGATTCATAAAATCCCAGCTAGCTTAGCTGCTTAGGATGATCGAGCTACACCAATAAATATTTAACAATACATTTGAAGGAAAGCTTTTATGCCCCCACCATTATTATGGCTGTCCATTAATTTCTCATTAATACTATAGTTTATGTTAGTTAAACTTCGGTATATGGTAACCAGCTAGCTTCGGTTGATACCCAAGACAATTAAAACAATATAAATGAACATCGAGGAAGCATTAGATTATCGTAATCACGGCTGGCATAGACCTGATATAGAATTGTGATTTGGAACAGTTATGTCGCTGGTTGTCGCACTTCTCCATAGATCTGGTTAGCGGTGATTAACTTGATTGCCTGGTCCGACGGCGAACACCCACTGATGTCTGTTTTGACAAATTGCCTTAAGCTGTTTCTGCAGTCCTAATGATTCTGTATTTGTAACATGGTGGTACATTACAGCAATACACAATAATTCCCATACGGTAAATTACAGTCAAACGCATTAAATGGATATTGAATGGGTTGAGGGGATTTATCAAAATCGTTTTCATAGATGATAGATTTTAGAAAAATTCTCCATGCTGATCTGGCATTTTTGTTTAATTTAAGGTTATATGCTATCTTACACAGTGTACTTGTGATCTGTATTAGAGTTGTCTTCCTTAGTTTTATAAATTTAATTATCTAATAATTTTGAATTATCCGACGGTTCATTATCAATGTATTCGTTATTGTATACTAAAGGGCCATTAATTCAGTGTTAAGCTCTTCATTTAGGAGGTAATTAAAGTATCACAGTAAGATCTATTTTTAGCTTAAATTACGGTTACAGATCAAGATGATTTCGAAATCAAAGATTATTATATTGAGCACAGATATCTATATATAAATATGCATACCAGTTAAGTTATTTCACAGTTTCCAGGCTGTGTGTGTGAAGGTTTCCCAGCCTTTATTGGCTGAGGTTAATCCATTATATACCCCTCATAAATCTGTGAAGTATTATGACAGGTAAGAAATCAATGCCCTGGTAGAACATGTGTGTGTAAATCTTTGCCTTGTTGACCTCTCTATCTAGTCTACCCTTGTCAGTCACAAAGAAGTGGCTTTTCCAGATAAGGGGCTGTCTCTGGGAACATTATACTAGACTTAATTTCCAGGGACTGTTACATGTACTGGCTTAGCCATCTCTGGGGACATCATCCTGGGCTATTTCCAGGGACTGTCACATGGGCTGGCTCAGCCATCTCTGGGGACATCATCCTAGGCTATTTCCAGGGACTGTCACATGGCCTGGCTCAGCCATCTCTGGGAACATTATCCTATGCTATTTCCAGGGAATGTCACATGGGCTGGCTCAGCCATCTCTGGGGACATCATCCTAGGCTATTTCCGGGGACTGTTACTTGTACTGGCTCAGCCATCTCTGGGGACATCATCCTAGGCTATTTCCAGGGATTGTCACATGTACTGGCTCAGCCATCTCTGGGAACATTATTCTTGGCTATTTCCAGGGACTGTTACATGTACTGGCTCAGCCATCTCTGTGGACATCATCCTAGGCTACTTCCAGGGACTGTCACATGGGCTGGCTCAGCCATCTCTGTGGACATCATCCTAGGCTACTTCCAGGGACTGTCACATGGGCTGGCTCAGCCATCTCTGGGGACATCATCCTAGGCTATTTCCGGGGACTGTTACGTGTACTGGCTCAGCCATCTCTGGGGACATCATCCTAGGCTATTTCCGGGGACTGTTACTTGTACTGGCTCAGCCATCTCTGGGGACATCATCCTAGGCTATTTCCAGGGATTGTCACATGTACTGGCTCAGCCATCTCTGGGAACATTATTCTAGGCTATTTCCAGGGACTGTTACATGTACTGGCTCAGCCATCTCTGGGAACATTATTCTTGGCTATTTCCAGGGACTGTTACATGTACTGGCTCAGCCATCTCTGGGGACATCATCCTAGGCTACTTCCAGGGACTGTTAAATGGGCTGGCTCAGCCATCTCTGGGCACATTATCCTAGACTTAATTTCCAGGGACTATCACATGGGCTGGCTCAGCCATCTCTGGGGACATTATCCTAGACAATTTCTAGGGACTGTCACAGGGGCTGGCTCAGCCATCACTGGGAACATCATCCTAGGCTATTTCCAGCGACTGTTATATGGGCTGGCTCTGCCATCTCTTGGGACATCATCCTAGGCTATTTCCAGGGACTGTTATATGGGCTGGCTCTGCCATATCTTGGGACATCATCCTAGACTATTTCCGGGGACTGTCACATGGCCTGGCTCGGCCATCTCTGGGGACATAATCCTAGACTATTTTCGGGGACTGTCACATGGGCTGGCTCAGCCATCTCTTAGAACATTATTCTAGCAAAGAGGCAGATGAAACATGATATGACAGGTTTTATATTGAGGTGTTAATTTATTGTCAAACATAAAGTTTAAATCTGATAATTAAACTAAGCCTTTTAATGGAAATCAGGGGCCACGGTGGCCAAGTGGTTAAGGCGTCTGACAATCTGCTACCACTAGCCCCTCCACCACTGGGTCGCGGGTTCGAGACCTATGTGGGGCAGTAGCCATTGGTACTGTCCATAGGTGGGTGGTTTTCCTTCAGGAACTTCGGCTTTTCTCCACCACCAAAACCTGAAATGTCCTAAAATGACCCTAGCTGCTAATATGATGTAAAACACAAACAAACTAAACTAATGGAAATAGCTATTGGACTTTGGTTCTTGGTAGACAGTTATTAATGAAGTTCTAGAAATTATGGCACTTGTGACATCAAAATCATGCAGTCAGATATTGTGATTTCAATGATGGAGAAATGATAATTAACTTTCTAACAGTATTTATATATACAGAAAATACGACATAATGTTTATTGCAATTCTTTTGCTAAAATGAGGCCATGTTTTGTATCCGGGCTAAAAAAATCTCATTTTCATCAACTCCCTAAGGATCAGTCAAATTTATGATTAACTCATTCACCCCTGAAGACACATTTAAACTCTTCCAATTCAAAGGTTGGAATAGTTCATTACTAAATTTCAGGGGTGAATGAGTTATAACATGTTTACACCTTACTGGAATTATTCAAAAAAACACACCTAGCAATCAATTGAATATTCTGTGTGAACATTATTTGTTTATGTACTCTACATCTACAGCTGGCGCTGGCTGCCCAGTGGGGTGCTGTCGGTGTTCTACTTTACATCGACCCTGCTGACCTGGGTGGGACTGTGGATAGAGTAACCTCCCCTGATTTACAGAAGTTTGTACCATACGTGTCTGCAGGTGGAAAGGTTTACACAGGTGACTAGAATATGTCGGATTAACTTTTATATCGTTAAGCTTATCATTCTTTGAACAGATGTGGAGATTGTAATTTCTACTCTCCTTCAATTTTCATGCAATTTCCATAACATACAGTTTACGATTCAATGTCGATTTGAGGTATATATTAACTGTATATTAACTCATTCACCCCTGAAATTTCATTATGAACTATTCCAACCTTTTCATTGGAAGGGTTCAAATTTGTTTTTGGGGGTAAATGAGTTGAACAAAAGAAGACTTTTTATGGGATATATATGTCAGCTGCTCTTAGAGCTAAAGAACACTTCAGTCAATTTCAGTCTTATTTTGGTCAACATTTTCAAGCATTCAAGACATTTAACCAAACAAATGTCATGTTTGTGGAGAACGTTTTTTTGAGTCCTAGCTGGTCAAGAATTTTGAAATTTCTTTAACTGATTTTCATGTATTATAAAATTCAGCATTTCAAAATGACATGGATGTCAGCCAAGAAACAGGAATTCATGTGTATCCAAAGTTACACTAATTGTCATAAATCGCTTTTACTTACTTGCTCTATGTACTCTGACGATTTATAATCTGTCTGTGAAAAAAAATGTCACCTGATACTCCAAGATATGAAATGATGTTGGAATTCAAATTGTCCATTGAAATTTATTGTTGAACTTTTGCCTTTTTGACAGCCAATCCCTATGGAGTTTCTATCGTGCCAGCTCAGACTGTTTCCATAGAAACAGCAACTTTCCTTATGAGCTCTCTGATTGAACCGTCTGCTCCTGCATCCTGGAATGGTGGATTGAATGCTACTTATCGTCTCCAAGGTAATCTGAGGCCCACAATTGATGAGACAGAACGGTAGAGAATACATTAAATATTGATGTCTCCTGGCGAACATTTTTCTAAGTATATTTGACTGTCTTCAATGCTCTCTCTTGAAGATTGTCATAAAATGCTTTACACAAAGCATCTAATCGCAGGATTATAATTCATTCAGCTTGATATTTCTTTTCATAATGTATGCATCCACAAAACATACACTTCTGTCTCATTTCCCTGTGTGTAAGATAGAGCTGTCCAGGGTAAGAAAAGGGTGTAAGAAATTTCTATCTTACACCCCATTTCACGTGACGTGACATCACAATGGCCCAACAATGATGTGACGTCATGAATTTGAAAAACTCTGATGCCGCAATGCAAAAAAGGCGACGTGAGGAAATTAAAACCTTCTACGGTATATTTACCATACACGTTAGAAAGATGAAATTATTTTTTTCCGTGCAAACTCTGTTCGCGAATATGGAGTATGCTAAGTGTTGCTGATAAATTCGTTTTCTACCCAGTCCTATTGCATTTTCACGGTTTCTGAGCAAAGCCTCAGGTTTTACCAAATTTGAAAACCCCTTGGTTGGAATTTCCTGATCCTACACCCCTGGGCATGAGAAGAGTCTGATAATATACAGTAATAGCACTATTTTGGAGGCATTCTAGCTTAAGTGTTTTTAAGGACATTTTGCACTATGATGTTACACTAATTGATGCACTACAGCACTTATTGTATTTTTTCCTTTTTTCGAAGGACGTTTGATTGTTCTATTATATTGGGTGTTCTGTAAAGTGTTGAGATATGAGGGTATACTGCTGATGTAAAACAGTAGTCTTGTATGTCAGGGGAGATAACTTCAACTTACACCGTTATGATGTTTCAGGCCAGCACACAGTGAGGCTCATTGTCAACAACATCAAGAAGGTGGAGACTGTGAGGAATGTTGTGGGTGTTATTGAAGGAGATATAGAAGGAGGTAGGTGGATATTTGTTATTTTTTAAGTGTTATGTTTTTTCCTTAAATACTCGGTCTCTTAAATATTTAATTCTTTCGAGGAGAAAAACTTACATTGTCAACTTTCAGTCCTTAATGTACGCTGGTATAGAAAAAAATCATGATAAGATTTACCATTTAATTTATCTTAGAAATGGATATTTCTAAAAAGTGGGTGACTTTATTTAATTGAGTCACTTGATTCAGAATGTTTATACTGTACAGTCAGCAGATTATTTGCCATCAAATTGCCTAATTACAAATTCCTAATCTGATGTCACAATTTCAAGTCAATATCGTTTTTTCAAGTCAGTTTAACTTTGGATTGTCTGTCATACAAGATGCCTAATCGGACACCCTCTGGCACACAACATTTAGGTCAGACTAGACAGTGATATCCTTAGGCTTGAGGCTGGATTAGACCGAATGTTACATTTTTATTTTCTTACTCCGGTTTCCTCCCAAAATTAAGACCCATATGCGCTAACAACCGGGCCAGCAAGAGTGATTAATATAAGTTGAACTAACTTGTTCATAATTGTTGTAAAAGAAATAAAGTTCATATTGTATATCATGTTCGCTGTTCCTAGATCGGAACATCATGGTGGGAGCTGCACGGACTGGTGGGTCTCAGACAGAATCCATGGTCTCCATGGGAACCATCAACATGCTGGAGCTGGCTCGCAGCATTGCATCTATACGACGTCTGGAAAAATGGCTCCCTCGACGCGGAATCAAGTTTTACTCATGGGGCGGAGCACAGTTCTCTCACTCTGGTATTGAAGAGTACCTGAAGGTATTTTGCCTATATTTTAATTTTTGTTTTGTGTTTTTTTCCCTTGGTGCATTAGTTTGTTACATTATTTCATAAAAGTATAAAATTTATATTAAGATATTCAGGATGTCAAAACAAAGTATTAAAATAAGAAATTTTGAGGGACAAAAGAATTATAGTCATAGGAAATTTAGATATTTTAACATGTAGAAATAAGTGTGAAAAAGAATTCTGGTTTGTTTATCTTTCTAAAAATTTAACACCACAAAAATGCCTAATTTTAGATAATTATCAAAACTAGAGAGAAAAAAATATGTTTGTGATGTTTTTAAGTGTTCTCTTTCCATAATAAAGAGAATTTTCTGTTGTCATTGTACTATACAGGGTAAGTCACGTCTTGAGATACTACTCCGTTCTGATTTGTTTCATTGCAGGAGAATCGCCTCATTGTACAGACCAAGGCTGTAGCCTACCTTGACCTTGACCTCTACATGCGAAGGAGCGATAGTCTGCGGGCACCCAAGATGGACGTGACCACAAGTCATCTGCTGTCAACTCTGGTCGAAAAAGTCTCAACAGTTGTAAGATTTACAATTAATGACCTTCCTCACACATTTATTGAGTTAAAAATTTTGCTGGGTTAACATTTTGCGATTTTGTGTCCGAAACTTATTCACGGGTGTTTAAATATCGCAAATCACAGTTTCTGTAAGTCTGTTTTGGAACATCTCGCAAAGAGTTATGTGCCCTGATGAGCAATTTAAAGTTACTACGTAATAAACTGGAACATCAATAAACCTGAATAAGCAGCCATATCTCAAAGACAGTTCTTTTGTGTTTTGTTTTTTTGTCAAAAACAAACTTCAAAACTTGAAAGCATTCCTGACGAATGTTTATTGATAATTTTTGAATTATTGTCTTGTCATATTGAACACATGTATATTGATTGTTTTTGAAAATTGAAGATCTCTTGTTTTGTTTATTACCTATCTTATGTCTGTGCTTTAGGTGCCCGATGCTGCCTTTTCCGAGTTAACGATCAAAGATAGCCTCTCTCTGACTGTAAATGAGTACAGGAAGTCGATCAGTGCCACAGACTACCTCCATGGAAACCAAGGTTCTCTGTTCTTATTCCAGGAACTAGGGATCCCGGTTTTTAAATCTGGATTTGATCTCCCTGTAAGTATGAATAGATATAGGCCGAGGCCTAGGATTCCTGTATACTATCTGTGGGGGCCGCTGTGGCCAAGTGGTTAAGGCGTCTTGACATTCTGCTACCACTAGCCCTCCAGTACCACTAGGTCAAAGGTTCGAGACCTACGTGGGGCAGTCGCCAGGTACTGGCCGTAGGTCGGTGGTTTTTCTTCGGGAACTCCGCCTTTCCTCCTCCACTACCAAAACCTGGCACGTCCTTATATGACCATAGCTGTTAATAGGACGTAAAACACAAACAAACACACACTAACTGTCAACGGACATAGAATTTAATATGTTTATCAGTCATCTTGTTGACTCAATTTGGTTTCAAGTTATTAGGTGATGCAAAATACTGAAAACAGTATTATAGTAGTTATAAGGGTATATATGCTACCTTTCACATTCATCTGTGATTTATGAGTCTTCCCCCTTGAAACTGAAACGTGTATGTTTCATATGTATCACCAAGTCATTTTTTAGGTTGTATAACTTTTGAAGTCATAGTTAAAAACCATTAAAGACAGAAATTCACATGTTTGTTGATGTGGAAATGTTTTGATATGGACGGAGATGAAATGATATTGTACGTAGCATATATCCCTCAGGCATTCTTATTACCAGATACGTGTATACTGTCTAACACGAAATGTTCGTGTGTACTTTCCTTCGTGGTTTGAAGCCATGTAGATAGTTTCTTGGTACAAACGTGCGTGGATATCCTATATTAACAAACAGTAAAACATGTGTATCATTCAAATTTGTTGTATTTATTTTCGTGGTTCGATAGCAACCACAAAAAAACATGAATGTTTATGCACAACAAACTTTTTATGTTAGTATGGTAGTATCATGTACTGTCAACAGATTTGTTTTGGTTTCTTGTTTACAGAAGAAATATCTCGAGAACATGAACACTTTTTGCCAATAGACTGAACTAATACATGTGGTCACCTCATAATAGTTCGTTATAAACATTTAAGTCTTTTGTTGCCAATAAGTATTAAACATGATCAGATTTTAATGTACTAATGCTATGTTCCAGGGTGCTATGATAAAGAATGGCTCACTTCATGACTCCGAGCATCACTACCGGTATCACTTGGCTGCTGCCAGAGTTATGGCCCTTGTGATACTAAATCTGGTTGATGAAAATATCCTACCGCTAGATGTCGCTGGCTTTGCATCATCCATTGACGAGGCCATGATACAGACAGCAGACTTAAAAGACATGAGTGAACTTATAGGTAAAGATTGATTCTGTGAAAACAGAAAAATGTATCGCTGATAAAAGGTCAGGACGATCATGGTAAATGTTGTTTTGCTGAAATATATGTCTGAACACTGGAGGTCAAGGTTACAAAAAAGAGGTCAAATTTCTGTTCACTGAAATAACTTTACAAATCACAAAACATTATTTGATAAAACTTCACAATGTATACCAAGAAACCTTTGCCCAGTCAAGTTCTTTCGGCGTTAAAATCCCTATTCACCAAGTGTAATTTTGCCTTTCATATCTCGTTTCTTTATATGTTGTTTACTGATATTTGCTGTAATGATAATCATCCTCATAACGGAGGGCAAAAATCGAGGAAGTTCAACTGCGGTGAAAATTTCCTGGTATATGGTATATATGTGTATTGAAACTAGATCCAGCATGCGCATTGCATACCTCTCTGAAATCAGTAATCAAAGGTCAGTCACAGGAAGGGTGAAAGGTCAAATGCCATACATGTTAATGCAGACCAAAGGAGTAAATTTAAGTGTGTACCATGATTGATAAGGAGGGTTTGTTGCATATTTCTTTTCAGTTCTGTACCTTCATGTATTAACTCATTCACCCCTGAAATTTCATAATGAACTATTCCAACCTTTCAGTTGGAAGAGTTCAAATATGTCTTCAGGGGTAAATGAGTTGACAGCATGCAGTGGGGAACAATTATAATCTTTGTACCCCTATCCTCCCCATTCTCACTCCCCACATGTAAACCTGAGTTTATACCTAATTCATTCTTTCCCTCAGATAATTTGGTGATCACATCAGATGTGTTTCTGACCACTGGGAAGGCCTTTGAGGTGTATATAGAATCTCTTGGACCCAACAAAGTTCCTCTAGAGGCGCGCAGAGTCAATGATGCTCTCATGATGCTGGATAAAGTCTTCCTCTCTCCTCTCATTAACAGGTAATACTTTTGTGACTATATCAAGTCCATCACTAGCTGCGGCGGGAACCATAGCTTCTAGGCCCGATTTTTTTTTTTTTTTAAATTGTTATCAGTCCGTATCAACAGTTATCAAGCTCTCGGAGATAATACTAATTAGTAATATACAACTGTTTTTCAAAATTGAAGTTTTAATGTCATATGCTGGTTGGCTGGTAAAATTGGTGGAACAGAATTTTTTCTTTTCAATTAAAAAAATGTACACAGATTAAAGAGTTTACAGCATGGGAGAATTACATTCGGTTACTGGGATGGCTGATCTAAATTCATCCACAGTATTGGCCGGGACAGTAGAGGCAGGTAGAGAATTACATTCGATTACTGAGATGGCTGATCTAAATTCATCCACAGTATTGGCCGAGACAATAGAGGCAGGTAGAGAATTACATTCGATTACTGAGATGGCTGATCTAAATTCATCCACAGTATTGGCCGAGACAGTAGAGGCAGGTAGAGAATTACATTCGATTACTGAGATGGCTGATCTAAATTCATCCACAGTATTGGCCGGGACAGTAGAGGCAGGTAGAGAATTACATTCGATTACTGAGATGGCTGATCTAAATTCATCCACAGTATTGGCCGAGACAATAGAGGCAGGTAGAGAATTACATTCGATTACTGAGATGGCTGATCTAAATTCATCCACAGTATTGGCCCAGACAATAGAGGCAGGTAGAGAATTACATTCGATTACTGAGATGGCTGATCTAAATTCATCCACAGTATTGGCCGAGACAATAGAGGCAGGTAGAGAATTACATTCGATTACTGAGATGGCTGATCTAAATTCATCCACAGTATTGGCCGAGACAATAGAGGCAGGTAGAGAATTACATTCGATTACTGAGATGGCTGATCTAAATTCATCCACAGTATTGGCCGAGACAATAGAGGCAGGTAGAGAATTACATTCGATTACTGAGATGGCTGATCTAAATTCATCCACAGTATTGGCCGAGACAATAGAGGCAGGTAGAGAATTACATTCGATTACTGAGATGGCTGATCTAAATTCATCCACAGTATTGGCCCGAGACAGTAGAGGCAGGTAGAGAATTACATTCGATTACTGAGATGGCTGATCTAAATTCATCCACAGTATTGGCCGAGACAATAGAGGCAGGGAGAGAATTACATTCGATTACTGAGATGGCTGATCTAAATTCATCCACAGTATTGGCCGAGACAATAGAGGCAGGTAGAGAATTACATTCGATTACTGAGATGGCTGATCTAAATTCATCCACAGTATTGGCCCGAGACAGTAGAGGCAGGGAGAGAATTACATTCGATTACTGAGATGGCTGATCTAAATTCATCCACAGTATTGGCCGAGACAATAGAGGCAGGTAGAGAATTACATTCGATTACTGAGATGGCTGATCTAAATTCATCCACAGTATTGGCCCGAGACAGTAGAGGCAGGGAGAGAATTACATTCGATTACTGAGATGGCTGATCTAAATTCATCCACAGTATTGGCCGAGACAATAGAGGCAGGTAGAGAATTACATTCGATTACTGAGATGGCTGATCTAAATTCATCCACAGTATTGGCCCGAGACAGTAGAGGCAGGGAGAGAATTACATTCGATTACTGAGATGGCTGATCTAAATTCATCCACAGTATTGGCCGAGACAATAGAGGCAGGTAGAGAATTACATTCGATTACTGAGATGGCTGATCTAAATTCATCCACAGTATTGGCCCGAGACAGTAGAGGCAGGGAGAGAATTACATTCGATTACTGAGATGGCTGATCTAAATTCATCCACAGTATTGGCCGAGACAATAGAGGCAGGTAGAGAATTACATACGATTACTGGGATGGCTGATCTAAATTCATCCACAGTATTGGCCGAGACAGTAGAGGCAGGTAGAGAATTACATTCGATTACTGGGATGGCTGATCTAAATTCATCCACAGTATTGGCCGAGACAGTAGAGGCAGGTAGAGAATTACATTCGATTACTGAGATGGCTGATCTAAATTCATCCACAGTATTGGCCGAGACAATAGAGGCAGGTAGAGAATTACATACGATTACTGGGATGGCTGATCTAAATTCATCCACAGTATTGACCGAGACAGTAGAGGCAGGTAGAGAGTTACATTCGATTACTGGGATGGCTGATCTAAATTCATCCACAGTATTGGCCGAGACAATAGAGGCAGGTAGAGAATTACATTAGATAACTGTGCGTGGGAAAAAAGAGTATTTATAAGATGTCAGTATCTGTCTGTAAGAGAACAGGTTTTGGCTTGAGTGTGTGACTGTACATAAACTTAGTGATAGTTTAACTATTAAAATTTTACGTTATATGTTTCTTTTCTCTTTAAAACAAAATGTTCCGATAAGAATGTATAAATTCTCAGAAATGATTGTGATATATTTTACAGGAACAGTGCCAGTCTACTGTACGAGACAGACAATCAAGGCCAACTGACGGTCATCAAGGAGATGGCTGCCCTGTCCGAGTCTACGGACGACTGGACAAACTTTGATTGTTTACTAGACTCATTCTCTAATGCATTAAAACAAAGTATAAGTATCCTACAGCTGAGTTAGTGATCGTGGTGACCAGTGGTCAGTCTACATTAGTGACAGTGGCTGGACTGTTGGTCAGTAAAAGAACATTCTGATACTGCTGAGCTAGTGATTGTGGTGACCAGTGGTCATCTTACATTAGTGATAGTGACTGGACTGTTGGTCAGTAAATGTAAATTCTTATACAGCTGAGCTAGTGATCGTGGTGACCAGTGGTCAGCTTATGTTAGTGTTACTGGCTAGACTGTTGGTCAGTTTAAAGTATATTCCTATACAGCTGAGCTAGTGACCGTGGTGATGAGACATTGGTTCATCACATACTTCTTACATGCAGCTTTAAACAACGTTTGACCAGTGGTCAAGAAACATGGTGTTCCTTAGGTCACTTACATCCTACTGCTTTATTGTCATTCTCATCATCGGTCAAGAAAAAGTATTTATTGATGGTACTTCCAACAGCTTTACACACATTTTGACCACTGGTCAAGAAACATGGACTTGATGTTGTTCATTGATGATAAATCTTACAGCTTTATTGACAGTTATGACCAACGGTCAAGAAACATTGACATTGGTGTTCGTTGATCATGCTTCCAGCAGTTTTGGCACATTTTGACCATTGGTCAAGAAACATTGACCATACAGTGTTAATTGATGATACATCCAACAGCTTTAGTAACATCCTGCATCCGTAAAGAAACATGAACTTGAGTTCATAAAGATTACATCCATGAAGCATTAAAATGAATTCAGACCATCGGTCAAGAAACTGCAGCATCCATTGATGAAGTCATTTTAGTCAGTCAAATCACAGCTGACCTACAGTACTATTTAAGGGCTGAATGGAGTGGTCAGTTGGAAATATAATTGAATGGTGTATTTATGTTCTCCTCTGACTGTAAACTGAGAGAAAAAAATCTCGAGCCATTATTCTGTGAATAATGTGATGACAACCATCATATGAAATTTGGTCCAAAATATCACCTTAAACATACTTCTAAGAACAGAGATCTTATGAATTCTAAATGATCTCAAGAGACTGTCCCATGCCATTGTTACAATGATGCATCCAGTATGTGCTGTTGTTATTGTGATCATAAATCATCAGTACATGTGTCGTCCAAAATGTTTACAACGCTTGCCAAAATATTCCTAAGTGTATTCTACTTGTTAATTTAAGCATCAAACGGAGGTCACAAGCAGATATGGTGTCATCAGTGTGAACTCAAGAAATCCTCATATTTTTAAAAATCTACAAAATTTGAACCAATAAGGTGTAAATGTGTACATGTGGAATGTAGCTATGGTGACTTTATAATGAATTCATGTGTTTTAAAATTTCTACAAGACAGAAAATATGAACCAGTTAATTATAAATGTGTATCGATAAAGCTATTGGACTTTATGATTAAAGTCATTGTATTATTCTTACTTAAGTGGGAAGTGCAATTTTGTAAGTAAGAGTTTGTGTAATAGGGCTGCGTTTTTTGCATGTTCGTATGACAGTTCTAGATTTGAGGTGGAGCTTCCACATCTAGATTCCGTGGTTTATTATCGGTTTACATGTTTCGACTAGCTACGTTAGCAGTCACCAGAACTGGAGAGCCGTCGATTGACTGATGACAGCTAGGCTAGCTAGTCAAAATATCCTTGGTAGTTTTTGTTTTTTGTACATTTTACATGTTTGGTGTAAACCGGTAATAAACTACAAAATCTCGATGTGGAAGCTCCATTTTATATGTTGCCTTCCATGATGGGGCTCTACTGAATTTCATTGGGTATCCATTTTGGATTCCTATCTACGACTATAGACAACCCGGACATCGGTTCTCTCTCACTCAGATAGGAGTCCCATTTCTTGTTCTAGATCTGGTAATGAAATTCTTTTGTTTCCATTTTTCCATTACGCATATTCTTTTTTTTCTCTCTAAAAAATTATTTGAAACTTTAATTTAATTGATTTTCTTGAAGTATATATTGAAATGCATCTCAAATATTATCAGATCTGTAAGAAAATGTTCTTTAAAAAACATTTCTCATTTTTAGATCTGTTAGCGATGGTATATTTGTTTAGAAAAATTGCTTTATTAGAATTTCTTGTCCTCAATTACAGAATGTTTTTGAAAATCATCATAAAATCTGAATTTGTAATCAAAATATGATTTCATCGTTATAAATAATCTCGCTATTTTGTAAGTTATATTTTTCATTTTTTTTTGCATGATATTTAGGAATAGGTGGTAATTATGTATTTTTGTAAAGTATTTGTTGTTCAAACTTGATTATTACCAATATCAAATATGTTTGTATTCAAAATCTAGTCAGATTCACAAATTGATGAATATAGATATATGTCGTGTAAATACTACTTTGATTTAGAAATATACCGAAATTTGTAAATAGCTTTAAATACTTTGCTTTATATTTAAATTCAAATTATCTGTTTAACATGAATTTCAGGTAAATAGATTTGTTGAGGTGATTTGTGCTACGATTTGTTAGTCTTATTGCACACAAATGTAAATACATTTGCTTTATAACACGAAACTTGTAATGAGATTTTCATTGTAATTCTTCAGAGACTTGGTAAAATGAGAAATTCACTCTAGTTTCATAGCTTTCAAATGAAATAGAAAATTTGACTCATTTAAGATACTATATCTAGATTTGTTATTTTCCAAATCAGAATTTTTTGAAAGTGTATTAAATAATGGTACTGCATACTTTTGGTCTATGTTAACCATATTGAAACCAAAACAAGGTATTGTTTTGTAAAAAAACATCCAAATGTTCTTGCCTGTAAAATGAAGCACGTTTGCAAGGAGACTGACTTTCAGTCAATATGTTTTTCTTGTTTGAGGACTTGAGCAAGTCTTATAAGATCCTGTAGACTTGCTCAAGTCAATATATAGACATGAAAAGTTTGTAATTTACGATAAATCAACAAATTTTGTCTTTAATGTACTCATTTTACAGTTTCCAGACAATTACTCCCAATCTAAACCCCCTGACCAATAAATGGAGTGATAGCATAGAAATACTTGGGTCTTTGAAAAGATTTGCATAATCATAATATGCTTAGCATACTTCTTGGAATGCGATTGACTTGCAAAGCAGAAATGGTTCATTGAATTTTTGTTACCATCAAATTTTTCCTATTTGCACCATTTCTGAAATGACATACATTCCCTATTATTATTTTTTTTTTGGGGGGGGGGGGGGGGGGTAGTTTACAGGTTTTATGATTTGAGAAGTAAGAGGTATGGATGAATGCATGCATTTTATTGGAACTGCATGATTTGTTTTGTTTTGACAACACAAATACCTGAACACATGTTTTGTAAGGTGAAGTGCATGCATGCTCATCAGAAGGCTTGAGTGATATGTCATAAGAGTGGAATTCATCGTCAGCAAAGATCTGTCAAGGACTCAGAGGTTTTGTGAGAGTGGAGATTATGCTTATTAGAAATCTGAGTGATATAAATGTGGAATTCATGCTCATTAAAGATCTGTGAAGGATTTTGAGGTTTTCTGAGAGTGGGGTTTTCTGAGAGTGGAATGCATGCTTGCTGAGAGTAGAATGCATGTTTACCGGAAGATCTGACTAGGATTACTATAGGTTTTAATACGCGAGTTGAGTCCAGGCTTGTCAGAAGATCTGACACAGGTTTTGTGAGAGTTGATTATGCCTTCCCAGGAATTGATCTTATGCATGATATGTCTTATCATTCATAAAATTATTTATAAATCTTGCAATTATTTTCATTTAAGTGTTGTTTTAAACATACACTCTAAATAGTGTTTCACTAAAATTTCTTCCACCTTTACCAATATTGTATAAAATGTATATAATTTATAAATGGCAAAGGCTTAAAGTTTCAGTGTTTATTTTCCAATTTCATTTTCTCACATGTCTTCCATAGGAGATGCTGACTGAATTCCAAATTTGTGTATTTTTTTTTTTTTTTTTGACACTGATTCAATTCAACGACATGGACTTTGTAGATATATAATCATGTTGCTGCGGGACTGTAGCTTTGAGGTCTGATCGTTTTAATTTTATTTCGATTTTTTCCATTATTATTGGACCAATTGAAAAATTTCAGAATAAAATATCAAAAATTTCAAAATAAAATTAAGTCGATCGGACCTAGAAGCTACAGTTCCCTCAGCTAATAACGATGTAGTTCATTGTTTTGTAGGTTATTTTTGTTCTCTACATCCTCATCTATATCATGTTGAAAACTTTTTAGCGTTTAACAAGTACACTGCCACCTCATTGTTTCATTAACAAGCTCAACAGATTTTGATTAGGAAGTTGGTCAATTTACCTCTTCCTTAAAGGCCAATGAATCTTTTAGTTCAACCAAAACACTGTCTCAATAACCCATTCACCCCTAAAGTCACATTTGAACCTTATCAAAGACTGGACAAGTCCAATTTAAATATTCTTTTATGTAGGGGTGAATGGGTTAAAAGCAAATATCATTAAAGTTGTCACTGTCAAATCAAATCATTGTCCAGCCACATTTCTGTCCTGTTACCACATCAGTTAAACCTGGATGGATGACGAGGGGCAATTTAAAAAAACAACAACACTTTGTCCCTAAACAAAGTGACTGGATAGTGGGACAACCAGGTTACTTGGGGTCTGGATTAGAAAGGCTCGGATGTAGATGCTGCTACCTATTCATGTGATGTAAATACCCATTTCTGATTGGACAAGATTTGTGGCATGTCAAGTTGTCAGCATGCTGATGATCTGTTCCCTCTTATCTTTGTCTTTGATTCACTTGCTACTATGTTCAACATAGCGATGATTCATTGGACAGCTTCCTTCAGAGAGATGTTTTACTTCAGGGCATATTGACATTTATCTGTGCCAACTGGGGAATAATGACCTTGATTTTGGTTGGTATCACAATTTTTGGGTTTGGCAATAATCAATATTCACTTCATGACATCAGTAACATTATTAAGAATTCATATTTTTCCATTGACATGGCACTATTTTGTGTCTGGTTAAATATCTGCTAAGATGTTTGTAATAGATTTCACGATATATGTATCAGAATAGAATATTTAATATTTGTTCTGACGAGTCTTTAATAAAATGTATAAGTCACCATTTGCTCATTTCAAAACAAATTAAAAACATTGAAAGGATCGACTTTGTTTTGTTTTTATTTTTGGTTATCATGGGGTCTTGTAAGATTTCTCAACAATCTGATGTTATACTAGGTATAACCTGTAAGTTTAGGCACATCATTTTCATACGCCTGTCAAATTTGACGGAAGTATTATGGTATGGGGTTGTCCGTCCGCCGTAAACTTTTGTTTGTCTGGCAATCTCCTTCTACATTTTTCGATCGATCTCTTTAAAACTTGGTATACATTATAATCATGATATGAAGTTGTGTCTCCTATGTTTCAGTGAGGTAGCACTATAAAGTCGGCATCAGTTCCGCGCTATCACAAGGAGACAAACACGAACATATCGCAGCCTCCCAAAATACACACACATACACTACACGCATGCATCTTGCACACAGGGGAGGNTTGATTTTTTGTCTGGAGATTTTCTCCTACATTTTTTATAGCATGTCAGCTAACCACTCTTAGAATGATGCAGATCTTATTTCAATGTAAGAAAGTATATAACACTATATGGCATTCGACGGGCGTATATTGTTCCGACCCAGGGTACTCTTGTTTAATAACAAACAAGTTAGTGGTTAGTCTTCAGTGTCCTTTGCTTTGCATTTTCCTTCACAAGACTTCCTACTTTCTTTTGGAGTCATTGTAGGGGAAAGGTTCAGAGTTGTGCTGAAAATTGCAGGTGTGGACAAGTAATCGGGAGGACAAAGCAATTATACCGTGAGGGAGGCAATCTTTGCAGAATAAGGACTGACAATTCAGCCTGTCTGAAGCCCTTACAGATGGGAGAAGGTTATGCCTTGCTTATCATACTTATGGATAAATGGTACCTCACTTACTACGGCATGCACCTGCATTCTGTAAAAAAAATAATGGAATGGCAATTTGATTATGAACTGATTACAAATTTAAATCGTTGATTTTATTTTAAAATACATTTTATACTAAGGGAGATCACTCTAACCCTGATGTATATATTTTAGACTGTAAAACACAACAAAGCTTCAGTTCTTAATGGAATGGCAATTTGATTAACTGATCTCAAATTTAAATTGTTGATTTTAAAATATATTTTATGTTAAGGGCAATCACTCTAACTCTGATGTATAACATGAATTAGGTACCTTTTATTTATTTCAGACTGTAAAACACAACACAGCCTCAGTTCTTTGCATTACAACATTTTTATTCAAACATATTAGGAAAATATTCAGTCATGAATCACTAGTGCATCTAACATTCATACACACATTTAAAGAAAGGGATTTATGCAACATACTAATATTTTCAATAAAATCAAGAAATTTGATAAACTATAAATAAAATAGAATTCAAAGATAATAAATTGCATCCCCTTAATTGACAGAAATTACAATGAAACAATTTGACACATTATTAAAATGAGAAAAACGAGATAAAAATATTGAAATTTTGCATGAAGTTTAAACTTTCAGGGTCTTTTTCTTTTCTTTAATTTCTTTTTATTTGTCATCCTGTGTTAGATGCATATGAATTAATTTCATTACAATTCTAGGAGACCCATGTCAAATATATAAAATCTACATACAACACTACATTATTTTATTTCATTCAACAATAAAATTACCAAGTACCATGATGATAAAATGTAAGTAAAATTGCACAATAATAATGACTAGATTTAATTGAATTCTGTTACAAACTTTGAATCAAGTAGTACAGACATATAGAACAATAAACAACACTTTTACACAACTGTAGGACAAGACACGGACAAAGTTTAACAGTTATTAAACCAAGTTATATTTCGCAGGTTTTCAAATTTTTTTAGGCATAAAACCCCCACAAATTATACTTGAGGTACATCCTGGGTTAAAGGATGCAATTCCCTCATGGTGATCTGTAATAGATCACTATCCTTAAAATACAACACAATCAGGACTTTGTTCCACATATTTGAGAATATTTGGTCGTTTACTGAGGAGTTGTTATAATTGGTTTAGCACTTTTTTTCCCCCATCGTGATCTTGAATTTTTCAGACGAACAAGACACAGGTTTTGACATTGAGAGTTACAACTTGAACATCACTGAAAATGGTTATTTCTGTGGAAGTCTATTTCCAAGTTGTTCAAAACAGATGGTTTTCCGCACAGCGTTATTCTCTGGTTTTGTGTAGACTGTAACTTTACATCGCGTCTCACATGTGATATGATGGTGTCCCACTGAACCCTGCCTTTTTTCCAGTTATGGCCAAAGCTGCCCGCAAAATGTTGCCTGTCATTCAAAATCCAGGGTGGCTCATGTCCGACTGAGAAAACAAACAGGTATAGAGTTTAAAGGTTGATTAAAGTTACAATGCAGCAAGGACGTGAGCAAGAAAATTAGTCTAACAGCTGAAAATGTACACACCCATACATATGTTGCCAATAACACAACCAATAATTAAATAAAAGACCTAGGGACCAATCTCGACCAGCAAAAGCGACAAAAGATGATAATTGTTGTGAAAAAAAGAACCTTAATCAGTAGATTTCGTCAGCAGGCAAGTGAAAATTAGTCTCCACTTTCCTGTGCAAAATTTTCAAATGAATACTACTACAAAATATTTACTGCAAACAATTGACAGGCCAAAAAAAATTGTGTTTGTTAAAAAGACATTGCAAAAGGTTATTTAATGTATATGTACTAGTAGACAAATATATGATGAATTTTAAACATTATATTTCTTATTGGAGAAAAATCAGGCGAGTGGTATTTGTCAGAATCTGCATAAAGTAGGCTTAACTAGTTCATCGTGAAATTGAACAACCCTACTGGATATTTTTTTCTAAAATCTGTGAACATTATAAATTGCTCATAGACTGGCATCCATGAAGGTAGAGTTACACATGGTTGCTATATAGCACACATGCAGTCAATGAAATAGCTGTGGGTCAATTTAAGCACCTTGGCTTAGTCACTGTGATAGAGCAGGTATTGATGTCCGAGCTTGTAACCGGATAAATGTCATGTAAACCCAATTTGTGCTAAATTTTGACTAAGTACCTTTACAGTAAATCACTAGGTAAATGATACAAGAGGCCCAAGGGCCTTAGCGGTCACCTGAGTTATATCATAGGTACTGGTAGCTTTATTTTATTGTTTAGATGTGATGTGGAAATCAGCATGTAAACTAAGTGAAATACAATACTTGTCATGTCATCAAAGGATAAGAATTTGAAAATATTGGTAAATGTTCCCTTGGGGGCCCCGCCCTGGCCCCAGGGGTTGGGGTAGGAATCCAAATTTTACAATTTTGTAGCCTCATCTACCAAGGATGATTCTGACCAAGTTTGAAAAATATCCATCCACTGGTTCTTGAGAGGAAGTTGAAAATGTAAAAAGTTTACGCATGACGGACGATGACGGACGGAAAGCGATTAGAATAGGTCACTTGAGCAAAGCTCAGGTGACCTAAAAAGGAGGAAAGGAAAAGGAACACAATCAATCTGAAAAGACATGATATTCATGATCTACAACATACACGGATAAGTTCAGTTACATTTTTACATGCTCAACAACTTGGATTGGATGACAACATCTTACACATTCACCAGATTTTCTTCAATGATAATCGCGCTGTGTTCCATTTGTAGTGCTCTGCGTAACATCCCATGCATGTTAGACCATTTAGCTAACACCCATGCACAGACAATCCACCATAAGATATATCATCTTCCTCATGCATTAAGTATATAATATCATGTCAAACCTAGCCCAAGATTAGCATTGCATTCTAAGTCTATCTCAAACCTTGCCCAAGATTAGCATTGCATTCTAAGTCTATCTCAAACCTAGCCCAAGATTAGCATTGCATTCTAAGTCTATCTCAAACCTAACCCAAGATTAGCATTGCATTCTAAGTCTATCTCAAACCTAACCCAAGATTAGCATTGCATTATAAGCATTGCATTCTAAGTCTATCTCAAACCTAGCCCAAGATTAGCATTGCATTCTAAGTCTATCTCAAACCTAGCCCAAGAATAGCATTGCATTCTAAGTCTATCTCAAACCTAACCCAAGATTAACATTGCATGCTTAGTTTATCTCACACCTAGCCTAAGATTAGCATTGCATGCTTACTCTATCTCAAACCTAACCCAAGATTAACATTGCATGCTTAGTTTATCTCACACCTAGCCTAAGATTAGCATTGCATGCTTACTCTATCTCAAACCTAACCCAAGATTAACATTGCATGCTTAGTTTATCTCACACCTAGCCTAAGATTAGCATTGCATGCTTACTCTATCTCAAACCTAACCCAAGATTAACATTGCATGCTTAGTCTATATCAAACCTAACCCAAGATTAGCATTGCATGCTTAGTATATATCAAACCTGGTCTTAGATTAGCATTGCATTCTAAGTCTATCTCAAACTTAACCCAAGATTAGCATTGCATTATAAGCATTGCATTCTAAGTCTATCTCAAACCTAGCCTAAGATTAGCATTTCATGCTTAGTCTATCTCAAACCTAACCCAAGATTAACATTGCATGCTTAGTCTATCTCAAACCTAACCCAAGATTAGCATTGCATGCTAAGTCTATTTCAAACCTAGCCTAAGATTAGCATTGCATGCTTAGTCTATCTCAAACCTAACCCAAGATTAACATTGCATGCTTAGTCTATCTCAAACCTAGCCTAAGATTAGTATTGCATGCTAAGTCTATCTCAAACCTAGCCTAAGATTAGCATTGCATGCTTAGTCTATCAGCATCTCGATCTGAATATTGAGCCAATGCTATCCACAAAGTACCCTATGCTAAGTCTATCCCGAGATTATCATTCCAAGTCTATCTCTGGAGTATCATAACAATATCTAGAATATCTCGCCCACAATATTAAACAAAACCAATTTCCAAGGTATCATGCCATGCTGGTTACCTGAGCCATTTGTTGAGGAATAGCTGGAGCCTGTTGCTGCTGCAATGTTTGAAATCATTTTCACTAACACAGAATAAAGATAATGATTTAAATACATGCTTACTTTATACAAGTATATCCTGGTTTCATAATAACCCCAGGGCAAATGGTGAAGGGTCCTCAATATGTTGATACCCAATTCTATCGTAACCCTTGGGCTAGTCCAAGGAACCTATATGCTTACTTATGGGTCATTTTTATGCAGAGATCCATAATTATAGTGATCCTTGGATGAAAGGTGACTTACGCCCTATATTTATTTACTGAAGGCTCTTCTATATGCTGGTATCTGTTGTCATAGTATTTCTGTAATGAAGGGGACCTTTTTACTTACTGAAGGGTCTTCGATATGCTGTGATCCATCATCATAGTAACCCTGTGGGGAGGGATGGACCTGGGCCTGGTACTGGCGATGGTGTGCAGCCCCAGGGTACTGATGGGAGGGATGTGCAGGAGTGGAGGCCATCATTTGGGGACTCTCAAAATCGTGGATACTGGCCTCCTCACTGCTCTGGTCGGTGTCAATCTGAGGAGTACCAGGGGGCCTGCAACAAGGTGTGTCATACAATATTAGTTGTACCTTAACTATTTCACCCCTGAGACACATTTGAACTCTTCCAATTCTGAGGTTAGAATAGTCCATTATGGAATTTCAGGGGTGAATGAACATGTTGTCAATGGTGGAGGGAAAACGTCTTTACATAGATGTATACTTATGTCATGAATTCCAACACTTCAGTATTTAGTCATGCACACCTCAAATGTCAACTAGAATGAAAGATTTCAAAGCTTGATATGTTATGATTTTTAACTTCCACAGAGAAGTCTGTTTCTGAAATGCCATAGAAATGTATACATCTTTACCATTATTCATAAATGAAATGATCTGTATTTAGTTTTGACAAAATACTGTATACCAGCAATTTTCGCAGCAGTTAAATTTTCCCCTTTTTTGGCTCTCCGTTATGAGACCAGTGCGAATTATCATTACAACAAACATTTGTAAACAACATAATATACACAGTAATTAAATGCGAACGGCGAATTACGAATTAGGCAAAACCGGATTTTACTGGTGAAGGGCGAAACAATTTCCTGGTTTACAGAACCAAAAGGTAAACAAAATATTGGTATAAAAGTTGGAGTATTGGAATAGTTGGTAGACTCACAGGTTAGAAGGCGGTCTCATCCTGCTGTAATTTGGTTCCATCTGTCGCTGTAAATCTTGTTGCTGTTTCTGGGCATTCATCCAGGACACTTGGGACATTTGACTCATACCAACGTTACCGCTGTAAGGTCAGAGGTTATAAGTATAATTAAATACCTAAGGTCTCTTTCTCTATCATTTGAGCTTTAAACTTCTTTCAGTTGGCATTCATAGGCAATATGAATTCCAAATGTACAAAGGCAAATTCCATGAAGTGTCCTAGCAGTTCATGTTGAATTTACCTTTGTCCAGTTGGAATTCATATTGCCTATGAATGCCAGCTGAAAACAGTTCAATACTTATATCAATTACACTGAATTTTATTCAGCATTTATTTCAAATAGTGTATGTATGTATCATGTATGCTTGTTCAATGAATAGAACAACCATCGCCCAGGGAGGGTCAGTGGTATCCAACGTAACAGATATGATGTTGGCGATGATGACGTCAGCAATCAGTCCATGGCATTCATAGCCTACATGAATGCCAACTGACTTTGGTACGGTTATAAAGTGGCAATGCCATAAGATGGTAAATGTATTTAAATCATTTAATGCTTTATTTCTCATTCATACAAATTTTCTGTTTGACATACAGTGAGAGTCTAACAGTCTATTGCTCAAATTTGTGTGAGACAAATAAACCGTGTAACATGAAACAACAACAGTAAACATATGAACGTTCATGTAGAATAATGAATGTTGTTTGACAGTTGTAAACTATATGTATATTTTCGAGGGATACCCATAAGTCATAGATGTACGATACATTAGCTCGTTACTTGTTCGGCATTGATATTTCATGCAGAGGTCAACACTGATAAAAAAATATATCTATTTAACAATAATACCCATCTTATTGGTAACAAAAAGCGCTATCACAGGAAGATGAATAATTTAAAGTATTTCTCCTATTTAACTCTGTACAGCTTGAGGTGGTCGGGTGGCACAATGGATAACACACTCGCCTTTCACCAAGGCGGCCAAGGACCGATTCTCCGATCATACAGGAAAAGGTATGGGGTCATCTGACCGACCATGTTTTCTCTCTCTTCAGGTACTTCGGTCAATCCTCCCTCATTAAGACTAAAATCCGGGCCATCAAGAGTGATTAATATAAGTTACAAGAATTTGTTTCATAATTGTTGTTAAATAAATAAAGTCCGTATTATTTTAAAATCTGTACAGCTGCAAAATATACATGTATGCATAGCTAATTAAGAACGATGATAACCTAGGAGAATTTACTTTCTATTACCTGTTATATATATATATTTTATAATACCTTGTGACACTGTCTTCAGCAGTAACCTATGTATCACTACACAAATACACACTTCATCATCAATGAACACACACCTGGAAACTACACCTGTCCATTAAAAGGTATTCAGATTGGCTGACTAATGATAATTAGCATACACTGAACATACACCTGGAAACTACACCTGTCCATGAAAAGTATTTAGGTAGGAAGACCTATAAAGATAATTAGCATACACTGTCCTTCCAAACACTGATAGTGCATTCATATCATGCTTTGATTTCTTCCCATGATAAGTGAGTTAGAGAAAATCCAACCTAATTAGACTTATTATTGGAATTTATTTCAAAAAGTTATAATAATCATAACTAAAAACGTTTATTTATTTATTATACGTTATTACTGTTAACCAAAAGTTCAAAATTTTAGAAAAACTTTTTGACTGTTGGGTAACTTTAATTAATCCTCTACATGTAACAACCTCAGTGGTTCCAGTGGTCATCAATCAAGTTTACAGAGAACCAAAAAATAATTCAACTTTAAAATGATGTTTTGTATTTAATAAAACTTCATTTTCCAGGACACACATACTTGTACAGTAGAACCACCAGTCTGGACACTTCAACTGTGGGGTTCAGTAGAGCCTTTTCAGTCTGGACACTTCAAATGTGGGGTTCAGTAGAACCTTTTCAGTCTGGACACTTCAACTGTGGAGTTCAGTAGAACCTCCTTATTCTGGACACTTTTGACATCTTTACAGTAAAACTTCATTAGTCTGGACACTTTTGATATCTTTACAGTAAACCTTCATCAGTCTGGACAATTTTGATATCTTCACAGTAAGACTTCATTAGTCTGGACACTTTTGACATCATCACAGTAAAACTTCATTAGTCTGGACAATTTTGATATCTTCACAGTAAGACTTCATTAGTCTGGACACTTTTGACATCTTCGCAGTAAAACTTCATCAGTCGGGCCGCTTCGACTTTGGAGGTCAGTAGAACTTCATTAGTCTGGACACTTTTGACATCATCACAGTAAAACTTCATTAGTCTGGACACTTTTGACATCTTCACAGTAAAACTTCATCAGTCTGGCCACTTCGACTTTGGAGTTCAGTAGAACTTCATTAGTCTGGACACTTGATATCTTTATCATTAGTGTGGACACTTCCGTTGGGTATAAAGGGGACCCTCATTAGTGTGGACACTTCCGTTGGGTATAAAGGGGACCCTCATTGGACTGGACACCTCGGTTGGGTATAAAGGGGACCCTCATTGGACTGGACACTTCGGTTCGGTATAAAATGGACCCTCATTAAAGATGTCTCATTGGGTTTTTTTATGGTCTAATGACGGCTAGTCATTTAAGGACATGCAAGGTTTTGGTAGTGGAGGAAAGCTGGAGTACTGGTAGTAAAAGCAAACACCTGGGGTCAGTACCTGGCGACTGCCCCGTGTAGGCCTTGAACCAGCGACCCAGTGGTGGAGGGCTAGTGATCATAGACGGTCAGGCGCCTTAAACACTCAGCCACTGCGGCCCCAGGTCAAATTGTACAACATTGTTGCCCTTGCCAACTTGATGAAACTGTTACACCTTGATAATGAGGTCACTGCTACTTTCACAATAAAGTTTATACCACTATTTTACAATGGGAGGCACAGTAGTCTATTGGTAGGACGCCAGGCTCGTGACAGAAGGGTTGCGGGTTCGAGTCACAGCACGGCACTGTGTTGTATCTTTGAGCAAGATACCTTACTCTGCTTGTTCCAGTCTACTCAGCTGTAAATGAGTATGTGGTTGGGCAGTGCCAGAGTTGTTGAATGCTAGCTGTGAGCGCAGAAATGGCAACTGAGTTGAGAAAGGTGTTGGCTGGTTGCAAAGGCCCTATAACCACGGATAATAATTTGTGAACTGCTTTGAGACGACCTATGAACTAGGTTGTGATAAAGCAGTATATAAGAACCTCCAATGATTATTATTATTATTATATTAACTCCTTATATATACATATTGTACTTAAAACAAAACAAACAAAATGCAAACATTTGTTCTGATGTGTTTATTTACCTTAAATTCACTTTTCAATGAAAGGAAATAGTTCCTAGTTCTCATATATGTATTTTATCAAAGTGTTGCTTTATATATTTCATGAATTGCACTTAATATTGTCAATTTTAAACTGCCAATACTAGCTACCTCTATGTACATTTTATTTACAGTAATAAACTAAGCTATATTTTCGTTCACATTATGTTTTTAAGCTTATGAAGTAAGATGTGGATAGTATATATATACAGTCTCAATGAAAGATGAAATATGACAATGTTTGTATTAATTTGCATATTATGCATATTGCAAATCTTAATGAGATGTGAATAATAATTTAATATAAGGAGTTATCCTCTATGAAAAATCAAACTTTAGTAAAAAAAAAAAATGGAAACAAATACACCTTGTGACAATGCATCTACATGCTTTTATAAAACAGTATCCAATACATTTCAATGATTTCTGAAAAAAAACATCATCCAACAGCAATATCAAATATCTTGCTGAATTACTGGTATTAATTTTTTTCCTCTTCCATGGTCAGAAAACCACTCGGTTAAGGAAGTAAGTGCCAAAAACTGCCTACAACTTAGTCAACTCATTCACTCCTGAAATTTCATAATGAACTATTCCAACCTTTGAATTGGAAGAGTTCAAATGTGTCTTCAGGGGTGAATGAGTTAAATATCTGGGAATTAAGCTAGACTTGTGTCAAGCATCCCTTACCGCCACTCAACATGTCATCAAAATGTCTACATTTTTTAACAGCTATGTAGACAGCATAACCCAAAACATCAAGTAAATTTTGTTGGAAGTTGTAGATAAATGAACTATAGACTGACAATTTTTTGTAATAAGTTACCAAGAAATTGACAACCGTATTTGGAAGTGACCAATGTCTGAAACATATTTCTAAAATATTATTTTGGAAACATTGAAAGAATTTAGAAGTTATTTCATATTTATGAACAAAGTTAATAATTTTACACACACAACACGTACAACACCAAATATTTAGAAACAAGATCAATACAAAAACAAAAGAATAAAAAAAATCACATGTAAAACTTTTTTTCAAGGAATATTGAAATTTAAAATTTGAAAATAAAATGTTACAGAAACAAGCTACGAGTCCATAGCCGTCTAAGCGATTATAAAACTTGACGTTAAACACAGCAGTATAAAAGTAAAAAGGACATGTACCACATCCTTTGGACAGAACTTTCCAAAAACACAGTACATATTCTTGAATTGACCCTAATATACGAGAATTCATATCTAAAATATTATTCCCTTAATTTTGAAATCTGTTAAATGGGCTCTAATTAGGGCACTGTAAAAGTCTTTGAAAATGTTTATAATTTTCTAAAATATAACCTCATTCAATTGTCTGTTACATTCACTGCCATTAACACAGCAACACAAATCCAGCCCAACATATTCATACACACAATGTAACTGTTAATGATTTAGAATATGATGATGGCTACACGCTGTGCAATACAGATTAAAATGCTGGCAAGTCTGAATCACAGGATGCACGTTTTAACAAAGCCGCTGCTGTTTGATAGGTGCGGGTTTTTGGAGTTTCGGGGCTTCGGTGGCAGAAATCTTGGACGGGAAACAATCCCACACACATAGCAAGGGACTGGGCATGAACTAAACAAGCTCAAGGTCACCATAAACACGCTCAAGGTCACCATAATCTAGAAAGAACACAGAAACAAAGAAACAAAACTCAATAAAAAACGGAAATCAACAAAATGAAAGAGAAATGCATGCAAAATAATCAATAAAAGTGTAATAAACTGGCTGTCTGTATGTCACTGAAATACCTTGTGAAGCGTATTGTTTTTACAGGAACATTCTAATGCCAAATAAAGCAACAGGTGTGTTTCCTGTTGCACCCTTTATATATTTTTACTTCTGACCATAACATTTTTTCCTCACTGAAGGATAAGAAATGATGTTTTTTCGACATCCAATTTTCGACGCGAAGTGATGATACTTCTCTTATAGTCTCAGTATCATAGTTAAATTAATTTAAACCATTTGATGCTTTGATGTATATATTTCATGTTGATATTTTGCAAACTTGTCCAAGAAATAGTTTCTTTTTTTCTCACCCCTACTTACATTCATCTCGACAAGACACAATTGAGTATAGAACCACCTTGTGGTAATACAATCAATTTGGGGTAAAACAATCAATAGAAATGGGATCTCTTCATTAATGATATGGACATAACAGTTATGTGTGAATTTTATACGATTGCTACGATTTAAAAGAAATATGAAAAACTCTAATTTCAGACAGTATTTCAGTATTTCAGATCATTTGAGACAGCTAACTTCAGACAGACTACCAAACACCTATCTGATTAATCTGCTAAACAATCAGATTACTTGAGACGGACTACCACACAATAAGATCTTCACTAGAAAGCATGTTCACTTAGTCATCTCAAAATTAAGTCCAAGCTGCAATTAACTAAAGCAACATATATTATGTAAAATCAAAAGACAAAACTGAAAAGAAGTTGATTTTGAAGCTAATTGTGTTCTGAATAAAACAGGCCATTAATTTGTATTGATTGTCTTGCCTGTGCCCCGCTTTGACCATCAATGCACATGTCAAGTTTGGTTGGTCTAGCACTTACAGTTTCAAATAAAACTAACTTAAGCACAAATGTTGATGAAGATGCTGACAAAGTCAATGGGCCATGAAAGGTAGGCCACATCCAGCATATGATGCATGGGTTGAGATGTACTACCTAAGATACATCTATAGTACAAGTTTGGTTGGTCTAGCACTTAAACTTTCACTCAAATTAACTTAAACGCAAAAACTTAATGTTGTCGCTGTTGACGGAAAAGCAACAACACCTTAGTCTCGCTTCCAGTACTTCGTGGCGGCGAAACAAAAATCGTTTTCTGACAATTAGAAAATAACTCAAAAGAATCAGAAACCAAAGAGATGCCATACTGTACAATCTGCAACCTGAGACTAAATTGTCTTTATAAATAGTATCAACATGAAATCGTTATTATTCTGCAGTGTAGCCGTTCAGATTTTGACAGGATTTCTTCGAGATATTTTGAAAATTAAAAAGATATTGTCTTATCATAATCCACAAGGGCCTTTACAAATCAAGTTGCAGATTGGTATATTTCACAATGGGAACAAATGAACTACACAACAGAGAATAAAACCCGAATTGACAACAATGAAGTGAACACAGCGTGCAGTCTACTTACGAATCCTGAAAGTCCTGTTCCGATCCTGGTTCCGAGGGTGCCCCGATACTCTCCTCGTCAGCACGGCGACGTTTGATGGCAGTAGAGGTTAGTTGAGGCGCCATACTGGGTGCAGGAGTGGGGGGTTCTCCCCAGTCTCCAGTGCTGGAGTCATGGTCGGAGACTGTCAATGATAAAGTTATCGTATTACTTGTACAATCTCATATGTGTTTCCTATGCTATTTAACGTGACAGGAATATTCTTTAAGACACAGGTCATGTGTACTAAAGTGATATTGTATATAAAATACATGTGAAACAATTTATAGACTTCAAGTTAAATTACCAATGTACATCCATTTTAACTACTGTATACTGGGAAACTTTTGCCCCAGTCAAGTTTTCGCCCTTCAACCATGAATTCAATCTTCAACTAGTGTAAATTTTGTCCCTCACATGTAACCACTGTGAATATTTTGTTGGTTACTTAAATTTGCTGTAATGATAATGTCATCCTCAAGAGAGCGAAAAAGGCAAAAAATTGAACTGAAGTGAAAATTTCTTGTTGTACAGTCATTTTTTTCCATTTAAGTAACAAAATTTGTTTTTAGTAGGGAACACTTAAAAATCTGGGATATGTTACTTTCTTTTTCTGTGATAATTATTATTGTTTTTTTTTATTAATATTTAAACCCCTTTGATAATAATGTATAGGTGATTATTCTTTGATAATAATGTAATTATCTCCCTTTACTTGTGATACAACATGTTATTGTTATTTTACAACAATATTGCTTGTCGCAATAATAGCTCTCAAGAGCTCATGTTCTTCATTTACATGTATGAGACTTTTAAATAAAGTATCTTGGAAAACGAATTTTGATCTACTGGCCATATTCAATCTACTGATAATTGTCGTTTTACTCACCATCTGCTTTGCGTTTGCCATACCGCCTCTGTGAGGCCTGTTTCAGCGTGATGGGGTGGATTTCGTGCTCTCCCTGTACCAGACTGTTACGATACGTGATCAGAGATTGCCACTCATCATTGCGGTTGGACTGGGGAATCCCTGTGGCCGGTAGGTGCTTGTCTAGGTAATTCAGCCTGTCAAACAGGTAAATATATCATTAAGCACTTATAATGAAATCTTTGTTATTGAACTATTATTTTCACACAAAATACAAACAGTAATATCAAACTTTAAACTTTATTTATTTTTCATCAATTACAACAACTTATTTCAATTTAAATTAACTATTCTTGTTGGCCTGGTCATCAGTGTGCCAGGGGTTTTAATATGGTAGGAAACCAGAGTATCCAGAGAATAACCCACGCCAGGGCAGGTTACCCCTTACCTTTTTACGTCCGATCGGGCGATCTACAGTATAATTTATTTCTATAAAGGTTGAGAATTGTTTAAAGTTCTATTATTTCCGTAGAAAGTGAAAATCATTTACAGTAAAATTTATTTCCGTAGAGCGAGAGAATCATTTACAGTAAAATTTATTTCAGTAGAGCGTGAGAATCATTTTCATGTCATCCTGTCCAGATATCTACTTACACCACTTTCTTGTCTTGTTTCATGAGTTTGTTGGTGAACTCACACAACACCTCCAGGAAAGCAATGTTGGTAGGGGGTCCTTCGTGTCCTTCTTCCATTGCGAGACCGTACAGGATACCCTCCCTTAAAATACAAAATATCACAGATTATATGAAATATCTATATATTGCATGAACAAACAATAAAGTCAAAAGATAGTGATATTGCACTGTTGTATTTTTCCTATAATAAGTAACCTCCCTTTAACTTCTGTTTTGGATATATAACTGTAATAACACAGTTGGGCCAGGACAAATCTGTTGACAAGGTAACTCGATTGGTTACAGCGATAGTATAACAATCGGAAGTCCAGGGTTCAAATCCTGGTCTATCCCTGCTGTTTTATTTCCTTTAAGAACGTTATTGTTGATTATATTTTGTTTGTTTCTTTCATATTTATCATATCTCATAAAAGTCTAGAAATGATTTGTCAAAGCTATAGTCACGCCAAAAAAAAAAAAAAAAAAAAGGTTCCAACACTTGGTTACAGTTTTTAGCAGTGGTACAGGGACCTTTAAGGTTGATACAAATTTTCATTTTTATACAAGCCAATATATAGTCCATCTTAGTTATTCTAATAGCATCCCACTCGACATCACCTTCCCTACCAATACCGAAATACCAATATCAGCATCGTTGTGTGCATAAAATAAATATTTGTTATTTTTTCTTTCACAGAAAAACCTGCATTTGTGCAGTATTTAAAATTCACATTTGACACAATCTCAGTAATTTGCTCTCAGATAAAAAAAATCTTTTCCTTGCAATTTACTGTATACCGGGAATATTTTTGCCCAGCCAAGCTGTAAAATCCATATTCTCCTATTGCATTTTTTTTTGTTCTAGTAATCAAAGTGTACTATTATTTGTTGTAACAATTATTTTCCACTATACTACAGTAATACATCATACAAAGGATGGTACAAAACCTACTAATGTACGGTTACCTCTTTCAATGGAAAACTTGCATTCGTGCAGTATTTAAAATACCATCGAACTTGATCTGAACAATTTGCTTTTTGATGAAGCTGTTCTATTGAAACTAATGTGCTAGACTAAGTTTGGTACAAAACCTACTTGTGCATGGCAGCTACAGCCTCTCTGTTCTTGATCTGGTCAAGACCAAACGACAGTGCAAATCTTCTGGCCAACTCCTATTGAGAAAATAAAACAATTTATTAACAATATCTTAACAATTTCATGCCATTTTGCATGTAGAATTTCAAGTACTGTTTACCAACATAAATAACATTGGCAGAAAAGAAAGTACATCAATGCTTTTTTGACAGTATATCCCCTATTGTGTCTTTAGTGTCAGTGACCTTTGATCCTGACCTTAGGAACATGTTAAATACATTATGTGCATTTACATCATCCTCGATATCCAAGGGTTACGCTTACATTCGCTCTCTACACCCCTGGAATATGTCATAGCAAAATTGAAGGCACAAAGACAGCTGTTTGATTGGTCTCAGGTAAAATCGACCAATCGCTAGGCTGATACCTGTTCTTTGAAGATTACAAAGGAAAGACACCCGACTTCAAAGCCTGTCAATTTTTAACGTTACGTGACCACGAGATTCTTTTGATGAACTAGTCTTCTTGTCTCATCAACAAGGTGGCACACACTGATCCTTCAATTTTGCTATGACATATTCCAGGTGTGTAGAGAGCGAAAGTGATCGTAACCCCTGGATATCGAGGATGCATTTACATATAACAGGGTATCACCAAATGAAATTTCAGACAATTCAGACTTTCAGATTTTGAGATTAATTCAACTATCAAAGTGTGAATGACATTTCTAATGTGGAGCCCTAATCATTGCAATTGAATCAATAAGACACACTTTTTCCTGGAATCTGGAAGATATGTAGTATCTTTAATTACTAGCTGATTTTTGTGATTTTTTTTTCATCCTTTCTTTTTCTTTTTATTCTTCCTTTTTTGACTTTTTTGTTATCAATTTGATTCCAAGCATGAACATTTTATCATGTTCTAGGTTTCCCTTTATTTAGCTGTTAATCGGTCTTACCTTCAGTGACTGGAAGGCTTCCGAAGATCTGTCGATCATGCCTTGTTCCGAGTGCAGCTCACGGAATAACTGCAAAAAATGTATACAGCTGATAAACTTGAGGTAGAGTAGAATATCATTGGTTACGACTCACACTTGTAAACACAATAGATTCTCAGAGGTAGATTTTATATAGAGGTGAGTGGAAATTAACAATATTTATTTGAAATTATAGAATAGGCAAGCATGATTAAACAAAGTCTGCTTGCAGGTTAATACTCCTTTCCAAAATATTTACCAGACAACCAAATGAGTCTGTATTTCTTAAACATACATAAGTGGTTCCACAAGGCCTGTTGGCTAGTTTTAAAATGACTCAACTGTTTGAGATTTTATAATCACTCATGGGATCACCAGTGTGAGATTTTACAATGACTCACCTGTGTGAGATTTGAAGATAACTTTCTGTATGAGAGTTTAAGATGACTCACCTGTGTGAGATTTTAAGATTAAGATTTTAAGATGACTTACCTGTGTGAGACTAAGAGCGAGGGTCTTAGCTGTTGTCACCTTGTTGATTTCTCTGGCCTTAGCTAGTGTTGCCTTGATGATGTCTCCATAATCATTGTAGAACTGAAGTACAACACAGATGTAGTACACATGATTTATGTCATTTGGAAGCAAAGGTTGGTCTCAAAATTGAAAAGACTGAAAATTAATTGTAGAGAATTGATGACTTCCTTGTTCAATTTTTGAACTAAAAGCGTCCAGACACTACATGTTTTGATACTTGTTTAAGTTTTGTTACTTCCGAAAAGTTGTTTTGATATTTTATAAGATTTTCTGCACTTGGATAAAAGTTTCAACTTTGTACTTCGTTCTGTTTCTGTGTCATGTGTGTTGCTTATTTTAAACTTGAAGATTCTTAAGCATCTTTATAAGAAAGTACAGAAACCTCTTATTTTTTGGTACCAAAATGACCAGATACCAAAACGTCTAAGATTCATCCCAAAACTAATGACAAAGGTTTTCAGATATTACTGCTTAAGAAATGACGACTGATTAAATGTTTTCCCATCTTAATGCATAATGTTCTTACAACTAAAATACTGGTATGGTATTGCAATATTACTGCAATATCTTGATTGTTGACATCACTCCATTCCAGAAATTTAAATTGTTTCCATTCATTACTCATGAAAAAGACGTGACATAGTCTTGTAATTTTACATTTTGAGAAACAGCTGATTAATGGAATGATTAATGGAATGATTAATGGAATGTCACTGCCATAACACCAGAGCATGACATCTTAAGCAGTCACTTTAATCTTACAACAGGCTCATCAGAGATGCCAACGCAGTGTGTTCTTGATTCAGATAAATTTACCTTCATGTAGTGCTTGAACATGTCCGCGGCGACTCGGATACTGACAATGTTGTACACAACCAGCTTACAGAAACAGGCCAGGAAGTTACGTCGCTTGTGCAGCTCCTCAATCTTCACATTCTCATCCACATCATCTGTAATACATATCACACTATGACTGAATTTGTTCTTCTGAACTCTCAGGGACTCCATATTTATTTTCAAAAAAGACGAGGGGCTTGAGTAATCTTTCGTTTAGCGTTTATTTATTCCTGTAGTATATTTTCAAAGATTGTGAAAGAAATACAATACATATTACTGATGAACCAGGAAACAGGTTATAAAACATGTTTTTTTTCTCTTCAATTTTCACTGTTTATGTGTAAACAGTTGGTCAATCAGAAATTATACAGGTTTTCTATCAATTTAACACTTTCTTCAAATAAAATTTTCCATGAAATAAATAGAAATTCTATCAGAAAAGACAAGATTTTATCATTGGAAAATCTGTTCAGCAATTTATCATCAGTTGTTAATTTTGTCCATAAAGCTGAAGAATAGTTCATATTTTACAAAATGAATGCAAACACTGAACGTACCGTCCTCATCCTCGACGAAGACTTTCTCTGTGAGGAAGTTGCTGAGTTGTGTCTGTAGTGTCTTGTCTGGTTCAAACACAAGTGGCTTCATCACACCATTGTCCCCCAAGTGTTTACTGAACACGATCAGCAGGTCACAGATCGTGATGTAGCTCTGCAACAACATTTCTATCAATTATCTCTGCTTAATTCTGAATATTTAATATCATTTCAAAAGTTTGAAAGAGGTCATAAAACTAAGCTCCCCTCCGATCTTTGACCTCATGCAAGTTGCATTGATCTTGAAGGTACAAAAGACACGACACTTATTTTGAAGTAATTTTGATCCCTTGCTCGTAACCTTGGACCTTTGGAGGTACAAAAAGACATGACACTTATTCTGAGGTAACTTAAATCTGATTCTTGTTCAGTTTTACACTACGTATACATCTGATTACCCCAGATGAAAGCTGAAAGTTGTTTAGTCAGTGTCCATTGGAGCACAGCCACATACCAAAAATAACAAGTATGAGACTTGGTCCTTGACCATCACTAGAACACTGATGTCCACTCTTCACTACAACAACGCCCCAGAACCAAAACATCTACAAATTATCTAATGATTTCATGGAATTTGAACTTTGAATTTGTTTCAGGTTTTCAGTGTAAACCTGTACCTTCTTAGATACCCTCTCCTCCAAAAAACACATTATCAGAGCCTAGGAAGCAAGCTCACATCCTAAGTGATTGGAATCCCCCCAACCACCTCCTCCTATCATCTGACTTAGCTAGTGATCTCACCTCCTCTGTAACTTTGTCCTGCTGGTGAAACATAAGCTCATGACAATGCCTCATCAGTTCCTCCAGTCTCTTCCTCAGCATCCTCATACGGTTCTGTAACACAGTAATCAGCAAAACATTCAAACATAAGACATTTCAGATTTATTGAAGCTTTAACTCATTCACCTGTGAAGACATGTTAAAACCTTCCAATTCAAAAGTTAAAATAGCTCATTATGAATTTTCAGGGTTGAATGAGTTAAATAAACTGACTTCCAAACAAATGATAATTGCAAATGAAAAAGAGATTCAAATTTCAATTTTGCAATAAAAATAAGGACTGCTCTTATACACCCTAAACATATATTGTCTAGTATCAGTTTTCTAAACAGGGACAATAAGGGAACAATAAATGTCATTCTTTTGAAATTTTTAAACCTTTTTTTTTAAATTTTACAGCTGATGTTGAGATATGTAATTATCTCCCTTTACTTGTGATACAACATGTTATTGTTATTTTACATGTTTGTCGCAATAATAGCCCTCAAGAGCTCACATTTTTTGTTTACATGTAAGCGACTTTAAATAAGGTTTCTTGTATCTTGTACAGAATTAATTTCTCAATTTAAACTCCTATTAATAGACACAGACAAGTAGACGAGAAAAATGTAAAATGACCAATCTCAAAGTGAAGAATAGTACAATACAAAACTACACTAGTTGTGAATGAGATGATATGACTTACTTTGTCTGGGTTACTGGTATCGAGAGCCTGGAGATACCACAGGATGGCCATACTGCACGAGGAAATCGCTTTACTGATTATCTGGTGGGGCAAAACAAAATCATATAAATGATTTGACAATCACTGGTCCTAACAAACACCACCACCACCACCACTCTTTGAGAACAAATCCCAAACTGTTATCAAAGTGCAGGCAACAGTTACAAGAAAGATGTGTGCCTTACCAATATTCTTAAATAGATTATATCTTTATTCAATTTCCTATATTTTTAGTTTTCCTGAATTTAAGCAGGACATACTGGTATCAGATTTTCTGACTATGAAGTTCCTTTAAATTAAACATTTCTATATCATAACAGTCTCCATAATCAACCCATCTTTATTTTACTGAATTAATCCGGCTTAACTGTACTGACCTCCTCGGGAATGGCTAACTGGTTGTCATTTCCAGCTTTGATGATGTGAAACAGATCGTCCCAGAGATTCCAACTCGTTAAATTGTGACAACTGAAAAAGGTCAAAGTAAATCAGCTGGTATAAAACAGAAAAGTTGTCTATAGCTTTCACATATCTTGAATGCCATGGTGTTCCTGTGCAGAATGTATGAAGGTAATCTTTTTTCCATTTACCAGATTTTGAAAAAACTTATGTCATAGGAATTGCACATACAGGTTTGGCTTTATCGTGGATGACTTTTAAGCAACAGTAGTAAAATACAGACTTGCATTAGATGTATTTCAATTTAAATGTGCCAATCGTTATCAGCATTAGCCTGTTGATTTCATATTGTGCGGAAAACTTAAGGCTAACAGATTTTATTATCAATGAAAACTAAAGACAGTTTTACCTATAAAAGGCATAGATTCGTTTTAGACAAGCTACCAGTGCAAACATTTCATCCTCGTCCGGCTCCTCACCCTACAAAGCAAACAAAGACACCTTTTTTATTCTTCAAACATATTGTAATATTTTGCAATACTTCATTAACAGCTCTGGTTAAACTAGATCAGCAAGATCCAGAGTTTTTCGTTTTTGTTTTAAATGCACAATGATACAAATTCATGTTGGATTTGCGGTCCCTGGACTGCTAGGTCTGTTATGTTGAATTCTTAAGAATAATTTAACTATGAAAACAATACAGCTACATATACCAGTAAGGCCTATTTCAGGTAAAAGTTTAGAGGCCTGGGCTAAGAAGAACAGCCTCTCGGGACTCATTTACTATCATATCTGGAATTGCCCTAGAGTAAATGCTCCAAATTGCATTGTCAGGAACACTTTCAACTTAACCCCCCTAACAGATAGTGGTTTGTCCCAGTTGCAGCCATTTCTAATAGGGTTCTTCTCTAAGGACACTAAACCCACATCTATAGCTATGCTAGTGATGCCATGTGACTTCCAGTCATCCAACGTCATATTTGGGTAGATATTGCTTACAATTAGCCCTCGTCAACTCTGAACTCTACAAATCTTCACAGCATTTTAACTCATTCACCCCTGAAGACAAATTTGAATTCAAAAGTTGGAACAGTCCATTATGAAATTTCAGGGGAGAATGAGTTAAACCTGGTATATTGGTAGGTGCGGTTCTGACTCCCACTTTGGCACAGATACCTCTGGGAATCTTATTTCATTATCAGTTTCAGTACCATTCTTACGGTTTTAAAGCAAGTAGTCAATGTGTCATTACCTCAGCAAAGAAGTCTTGCATGGCTTCTTTGAACTTGGCCACCAGGGAGTCAATGAGGGTTTTTCTGGCCACATCACACTTTCCTGCGATAGCGTAGTCCTCATTGCACAGGCATTCGTAACACTTGGAACTGGCCTCCAGTACCTAAATATGCAGAACAACATTAGGCTAAATAAAGATAATTTTGAGGTTCAGCTAACCCTACCTACCCTAGATTTTTGTGCCTACTCTAAAGTCTTTATTGGCATTTAGTGATATTCACTGTTAGCTCAGAACTCCCGCTCTATATAAGCATAGTAAAATTATTTTCAAAAAAATAAATAATATTACCTACCTACCTTACCTATTTTTTCTGAGGATAATAGCAGAAACACAAGAACATTTTTGTTTGGCCTTATGAATTTAAATATAGCTGAAAAGTATCTATATCTCATTTACATTTCATTACATTTTGTACACATTTTGAATATTATATGTGAAAGTACCTTTCTTGGTGGACATACAGTTAACCCTTTGCCACATGCAAGCGCCTCTGGACGCCTTTACCCCTTGCCACATGTAAGCGCTTCCCGACGCCTCTACATTATCTCAATGTAAGCGCTTCTTGACGCCGCTACGTTATCTCAATGTAAGCGCCTCTCGACGCCATGCCGTTTCGGTAAACTTAGACATGGAAAATTCTGGAAATCACCTATACTATTTTTAGAAGATATCAATGCATCGACCAATCAGATTTGTACACGTCATTCCTACGAATAGTTTTGAATAAATTAACCTAGAAACTGCGAGTCATGAGTGTAGAAAAGTGTCACAACAGCGAGCCGTGATGGCGACTGTCACAACTATGTTACGGGACATTTTTGAGGAGGAGGAGGATGATTAATAGTTTAATGGCTTCAGCCCTGATGACATTGAGTCAGACATCNGTTTGTTGTTTTATTTGGAAGTGATAATATCATTGTTGAGTCATTTCATTGAATCATAATTAAAGCAAAATGAAACATTTTAAAATGTGTCTATCCTGATATACATACAGCTGATTTCATGGTTATGTGTTGATGTTTTTATTAGGAAAATAGCACTGAATTAAAAAAAAAATTGTAAGAAATTCTGAACATTATTTTAACTTACTGAAAATGCTTAAAACAACTATTTCACCTTCAAAATTAAGGTTAGAAAAACAAATCAAAACAAAACTTAATTTCTCAAAAACTGCCATTGAGATGGCGTATACACATTTCAGTCAGTGCAGCAGTGTTGCATTGCAACAATGTATCTTGGCACTATCAGTACAGAGTGTTCAAGTGTATTGGTTTGCATGTGGCAAAGGGTTAAGTAAATCATTTATAACAAACCTAAGGGCACTAAGACACCTGTGCAATATCACCCAACTTTGTTCTTTTTTAAACTTCTGCTTTAGGTTCCTTAAATAAGTTGAAACATGTATTAACAAAATCTGACCTAATGCACAGAAACTATAGCCCAAAAAGTCTGCACCTCTGATGTAGGGGCTTGACCAATCATCTCACTCACCTCTGTGTCTGTGTGTTTTTCCACAACCTCGTGTAGGTAACGTAATGTCAGCTCCAGATTCTACAATAGTGTAAAACACATCTTAGACTAATAGAACGAGAAGGAAAAGAAATTTGCTTTCAAAATAATCTGAAACATTATCTATACCCAAGCAAATCTTACCAATACAGAACAATGTGATGATATCATGATTTGCAAATTTAGAAAAATAAAAGTATTAATTACTCTTCCTGTTTACTGTCACATTTTTGCAGTTAAGATTTTACAAATATGATTAAATAAATAACAAACTTATACCCATTCCATACACTGAAGCTTATAAAAACAATCTATGTATAATGATTACATTCAAACAAATCTACAGAAATGTCTCTGATTTCTAAATGATGAACTTTCCATTATATCAACACCACCTGTCATGAACTTCATAAAACAGAAGTACTGTGCAATTGTAGCCTCAATTACCTTCTCTTGTCGACTGGCTGTGTAGATCTCCAGGTTGAAGTACTGTGGGATCGTTAACAGATTGGCCACTTTTTCTGGATCCATCAGATACTGCAAACGATAACATTCTACCTTTACTAAAACGACTAATTTAATTAAAACTGTGACACTTAAATGATACACTTTGAAAGTTATGTTTGGGGTTAGTTTAAACATTTCCCAACACATGAAAAATTTACTAAACTCATCCACCCCTGAAGACACATTTGAATTCTTCCGATTCAAAAGTTGGAATAGTTCATTATAAAATTTGAGGGGTGAATGAGTTAAGTCCCTGTACTCATATATATAAACATGTGAATACTTTTATTATCTCATTATCTTCAATTTTAACAAAATATTGAAATTGTCAACATGAACTGTAACTTACTGAAAAGTGAAAAGCGATGTCAAGATTTAACTCTTTAAAACAAAATAAATGTATGCAGCCAAAGCAATATCCTGGATCACAGCTGATACACTAGCTAGCTAGATTGACAGAACTGATATCCTGGATCACAGCCGATACACTAGCTAGCAAGATTGACAGAACTGATATCCTGGATCACAGCCGATACACTAGCTAGCTAGATTGACAGAACTGATATCCTGGATCACAGCCGATACACTAGCTAGCTAGATTGACAGAACTGATATCCTGGATCACAGCCGATACACTAGCTAGCTAGATTGACAGAACTGATATCCTGGATCACAGCCGATACACTAGCTAGCTAGATTGACAGAACTGATATCCTGGATCACAGCCGATACACTAGCTAGCTAGATTGACAGAACTGATATCCTGGATCACAGCCGATACACTAGCTAGCTAGATTGACAGAACTGATATCCTGGATCACAGCCGATACACTAGCTAGCTAGATTGACAGAACTGATATCCTGGATCACAGCCGATACACTAGCTAGCTAGATTGACAGAACTGATATCCTGGATCACAGCCGATACACTAGCTAGCTAGATTGACAGAACTGATATCCTGGATCACAGCCGATACACTAGCTAGCTAGATTGACAGAACTGATATCCTGGATCACAGCCGATACACTAGCTAGCTAGATTGACAGAACTGATATCCTGGATCACAGCCGATACACTAGCTAGCTAGATTGACAGAACTGATATCCTGGATCACAGCCGATACACTAGCTAGCTAGATTGACAGAACTGATATCCTGGATCACAGCCGATACACTAGCTAGCTAGATTGACAGAACTGATATCCTGGATCACAGCCGATACACTAGCTAGCTAGATTGACAGAACTGATATCCTGGATCACAGCCGATACACTAGCTAGCTAGATTGACAGAACTGATATCCTGGATCACAGCCGATACACTAGCTAGCTAGATTGACAGAACTGATATCCTGGATCACAGCCGATACACTAGCTAGCTAGATTGACAGAACTGATATCCTGGATCACAGCCGATACACTAGCTAGCTAGATTGACAGAACTGATATCCTGGATCACAGCCGATACACTAGCTAGCTAGATTGACAGAACTGATATCCTGGATCACAGCCGATACACTAGCTAGCTAGATTGACAGAACTGATATCCTGGATCACAGCCGATACACTAGCTAGCTAGATTGACAGAACTGATATCCTGGATCACAGCCGATACACTAGCTAGCTAGATTGACAGAACTGATATCCTGGATCACAGCCGATACACTAGCTAGCTAGATTGACAGAACTGATATCCTGGATCACAGCCGATACACTAGCTAGCTAGATTGACAGAACTGATATCCTGGATCACAGCCGATACACTAGCTAGCTAGATTGACAGAACTGATATCCTGGATCACAGCCGATACACTAGCTAGCTAGATTGACAGAACTGATATCCTGGATCACAGCCGATACACTAGCTAGCTAGATTGACAGAACTGATATCCTGGATCACAGCTGATACACTAGCTAGCTAGATTGACAGAACTGATATCCTGGATCACAGCTGATACACTAGCTAGCTAGATTGACAGAACTGATATCCTGGATCACAGCTGATACACTAGCTAGCTAGATTGACAGAACTGAGTGTTTTGTCAGACTCTTTTGACCAGATTTATCTATAAAGAGAATCCTTTTTTTGATGAGGAGGAGGCTAACCTTCAGGAGAAGCTGTGGTAGTGTTGCAATGAAGTGTTCAGTCAGACGTGTTTTGTCCTCCATAACTTGTTTACTCTCCTTGGCTGTTAACTGTCAAATATAAATAATATATTAAAAGACACACATTAAAAAATATCAAATCTTTAACATTAACAAGAAGTTGACTATTCCTTAATATCTTCAATTGTGTAGGATGTTATTTGTTGATGAAGAATAAAAGAACTTGACTAAATTCTGTCAGATTCAAATCTGTAGACTGAACAGTGGTATACAATTTCTTATTTAGATTAATACTTCAGATCGATCATCCTTGCCTACATGTTCATAGTAATTACTGAAAATTTTCACTGCTCAGACATTAATTTTTTTCTAGAACCAGGCACCCAGTTAATGGAATTACACACTAGTACTCTTGGTGAAATTCTCTAAGTATCGTTGATACAGTTAAACCTGTATTAGGAAATCCATTAAGTGGTCTTTTAACTCATTCACCCCTACGTATTAAAACTGGACTTGCCCAGCCTCAGATTCGGTGAGGTTCATATGTGACTCTAGGGGTGAACAGGTTAACATACGTGGTCTGCTGAGCAGGTTGGACTATATTGAAACCTGTCAATTTTTTTCCAGTATATTGTTTATCTTGTTAAAATCTGAAGGAATCTGTCTAGAGAAACTTAGAGTACAATTTACATATTAAAATCTATGTGCTTTATAAGCCTACCTTTCTGTTCGGACCTCTTCCGACGGGCGATTCTCCGGTGGCTGCTTGTTTTACGCAGCATACCATAATTTCAATTAGACTTGTTTCCTGTCTGTCGTCCAGGGCTAGAAAACAATTTCATGGAATCATTAATAAATATTAATTAGATCAATAAATATTTCAAGAATTTATCCAAGAAAATTGCTGTCAGAACTTTTCTTTATTTTCTATACTACTGACTGTAAAGTTCAGAAGCACGTCAAACTCCTTAATTATGTCATATACACTGTCTTGGCTGATAATTTGGGATGATTTTAGCATTTATCACCATGAAAGGTTCAGTTGATGTATCATATACATATTGATACATGTGATTTGATGATTAAACAGTAAGTAGTTTGAGAATTTTAATAAAGTTGACCCATGTGACCTTGACTCAAACTTGAGGTGATTTCTTTTCATAAACCTTGAATCAATTTATGCAAGCAAGCTTTTAGCCAAATGTCATAAATTTAGAGACTTCAGTTCTTCACAAGTAGACTTTATTTTACAGATATTTGACCCACGTGACCTTGAAAGTAGATAATGGTAAGTGGAACATTTCCTATTTCTGATGTACTGTAATACCATTAAATGAAGTCGTGCCAATAAAATCTGGAATTCATTGTTAGACGCTAACACTAGCTAGTCCTCTATTCTGAGAATAGTAGACTTCAGCAAGGACTAGAGAATCAACAAACTGAACAGGTCCTTCAATTTGGACTTGTGAAAAAATATGTTATTGCAATATCATTAGAAAGATTATAAAATAAGAATATTTGTTTTGAAAAACTGCTTAAAATACAAATGAATTAAACTGCACCATATTTGTATGATAGTAGTTAATTTATTAGTTCTCTACAATCAACTAGAATACTGACAGGTCAGTAAGGGCAGTCAATTACTTTTAATGTTTCCTGGTAGAGATGTTTCCTTATTACTTATTCACTCCTGAAATTTCATTATGAACTATTCCAACCTTTGAATTGGAAGAGTTCAAATGTGTCTACAGGGGTGAATGGGTTAAGGAAATTTTAGACTAGATCCATTGATGTAGGACCAGCAGATAATCTATTCAACTAGCCCTGTGGACTACCAAGCAAAAATAGTTTAGTGTCTAACCCCGAAACCTGGGATTACCAGGAACTAAGGAAACAGCGGGATGGATTGATACATACGTTCCTCGCCCTTAGGGGGTTCCTCCAGTAGCAGGTCTGTCATACATTCCCAGTCTCTCATCATGTCGTTGATATCCCATAGACTGTCGACCAGGTACGCTCCATGTTCATGTAACTGTCAGGCAAAAACATACAAGCTTATTTTTAGGATACATATACCAGTTAATTTGACGGGGACAATTGATATTTCCATCAAGGGCAGTCCCAAAATAGACAATATTTACACAATTATTTTAAGACCTTGATATGAAGTCTGGTTGGATAGATTTTCAATTTAGAATTACCATCTTATTATCATCCCAGAGTAAAGTGGATATAAATAAGATAAAGTTTTTTTTCAAGATTTTTTTCACAGATATTAAAAGTTGTATATTATTATCCAAGGAAATTGCTTAACTTTTATTTATTTTCTTCAATACTGACTGCAAAGTTCAGACACAACATCAAATTTCTTAATTATGTCTTATACATCTTATCCACCTACTCCTATAAAACTGTTCCCACTGATGACATCACAGTTAACACTGCTTTGAAGAAACAGTCTGAAGAGTCTCCCAAACAAGAAGTAAGCTCTGAAAGCTATATTCTGTGAACTTTCTGTTCTCAACTATATCTATATTTTATTTTAAAACAGTGGTATCTTCCCAAAGGTACCAATTTGACATTCAAAACATGCCAAGACTAAATTTTTATGAGGACAATTGATACTTTCAACAAAGGATAATCAATATCTAAAGAGCTATTTAAAACCCCGTTCAGAAGTCAGACTAAAGATGCTTAGACTCTGCTTATCCAGCACAATTGTCTAGACCTTGCACCCAAATGAGCTTGCCATCCATTACCTCACTCTCAATGAAAAACTGCACCAGATCTCTGATGAGTGGTGCATTTAGACTCTGCTTCTTTCCTTTATGTATTTTAAGAGTTCTTGTCAGCTCCTCGTCTTTGCGGAAAAGTTTGGCATTTAAGAATTCGCCCGCAGCCTGCGCCACCTGGCGCTGTGAGGAGTAAACCAATTCGTACACATTTTCACAGTCCTTGTCCCCCAGGATCGTGTCATTAAATCTACAAGGTACATCAATAAATATAGGTGCAATATATATATATATTTCTTCTTAGCAACACCGTTCACAGATATTATCTTTTATTTTGTTAAAATTAAAGTTTGAACCAAAAATTCAAAGATCAAAACAAGCTAGTGTTAAACTCATTTGATTGCTTATGGTACTATAATTTTGGTATCAGCTATTTTTTCTTTTTTTTTTAGAACTAAAAATTCAATAGCTCCCGAGTTCATACAAATAGAACAATATCCTATTTATATGCTATCTGTTAAAATGTTGATAATAAAACATTTAATCTAAAACAGGAACGCTCTCTTAGGTACTATCTGGTACAGTCAATGGACCTGATAAGGTACACATCAAAAAGAAGGCTCAAAAATGGTCTACAGAAATGGTTCTTAACCCTTTCACCACTATAGACCATCACAGACTCATCCAGAAGAATGTATGGTAGAGTCTACTGAAGTTACCTAGGGTGAAAGGGTTAATAGAGAGCTTATATTCAGTAATAATTGATCTATAGAGATGACAAAATGGCTGTCTCACAAGAGTGAGAATCAATTAATATGGATTGTCTCTCCAGCAGATTTGATTGTACTGTTACTTCCTGTATCATCAGTTGTTATAACTCACTTAAGGATGCTGATGACCAGTTTGATTCCCTGTACAGCCACCTCGTACTCCTTGTCTAGTGTCATCTCCACAATCCGGTCCTATAACACAAAGTATCGTATATATATATACATTGCTGGGTTTTCATCACAGATACTCAATGATGTTATATACATATACTTTCTTTCTCATTACATAAACAACACATGTGATGTAACAAGAGGTTGGCGATATCAGAGAGGAAACATTTGGTATATTGCAAGTTGAAATAGCAATAGTAAATTGCTCATGCTTTTTCTAGCATAATTTTCACCTTTCTGGAATTGAAAAATTATATGTAGTCTGCAATCCATTTTTTTGTCAAACAAACACAAGGGTTTGAACAATTAAAAACATTTTGTAACTCAATCAGCTTCATAGCAAATTAAAGGTTTTCTACATAGCTATTTGTCGTCAAATTTGAAATAAAAATATGCAAAGTATTGCAAATGGGGTTAAATATGAACTCAAAATATAAAGAAAAGAAAACCAATGACTAGAAAATACTACCATACCTTGAACCTGTTGGTGAAGAGCTCCAATTTGTGAGCCAAATCCTCTGTGTTATAAAGTGGCTGGAGGGCACGCAGACAGTGAAGACGGACCTCACCCACCTGAAGAAGCACACAAGTTATTGTATTGTCATACTTTACTATTACAAACAGCACTCTTGTAGTTATCTGAAAATCCGTTCCCCCTCCCAAGACTCAATATTTCAAAAACATATTTGTCTTTATATTTGAAATTTCATGTATTTATGTGTTTTTTATCTTCGCCACTTTGTTTGTTTCAGAAATGTAAGAGATGTAATAACAATTTTCATATACAGGTTATGGCTTTGTTTTGTTTTTCTCTCTATTTTGTCATTACTTTATGAAACTTAATTTCAGAAAAACATAACAAGAACTGTACTACTGAAGTAAGATTATGGTAGTACTTACCTTGTCATACAATGTCCAGCCAACGTATTTCAGGTAACCATCGTCTAAAAACATGTTGGGGTATCTCTTCATCCACACCCCTATTTCTGCTATACATATCGACCGGATCTCTGGCTGAGCATCTCTACAAGATAAATACACAAATGCATAAAACACTCGTTCAGTCAAATATCACACTTATTTTGATAAACGTAGAATATTTAATGTCTAAGTGAGTTTTCACCTTGTATTTGATCAGATATATAAAATAAGTCTCAAGAGTTTTCATTACAGCAAGTTTTAATTCTTTATGGTTTCCGTCTTCAGTGTGACAAAAAACTGTTTTAACATCATTTCTAATATCTACATGCTACAGAGTGTGTCAATATGTTGTTCATAGTGTGTCCAAATGTAACTGTAGTGTGTCCAAAATGCTTTTCAATATTTTCTAATAGATTTAGTCAATGTTAACTTTACGAAAATCTTTCATTCTTACAGTACCCTATGGAAATGACATCTTTTTAAATACTACCTGGATCTGATTGCTTTAATGGAATGCTTATCTGTATCTAACTATCTTATTGTATTTGACCATTTACCTGTATCCAATAAGTTACCTGTATCTGATCATTTACCTGTATCTAATAAGTTACCTGTATCTGATCACTTACCTGTATCTGATAAGTTACCTGTATCTGATTACTAACCTGTATCTATGCACAAAAACTCCCTTGAATATATATGTCAACATGTTTCTGATTTCTGCCTGATTTTCTTCCAACTATTGAATAAACAAAACATTGCAATTTACATCAAATGTTAGTATAAGTATTAAGATATATTTCACGATGGTAATTCAAATTTGCAATCCACTTACAAGTTATCAGAGTACCAATATCTTTAATATCAATCACTCATGATTTTATTCTTCTTCCACACTTGACTAGCAAATTATCTATTTCCATTGCATGAAAGCATTTTTGTAATAATTGCATAAAGTTCAATATGGGGTCGAGATCAAAAATGAAAATACAGGATTTACTGCACTAAACCTGAACACAAACTATCAAGTATCTATGAAATAAATACCGAAATGAACATCACCTGCCCATACCAAGTCTGTCTAGTAGAAATAGACACAGGCCATCACCTTTGCTGACATCCCACCTACAGGGCACTTACATGTTTGCACAGTTAAATCACAGACCTTACTTCTGTAACACCCCCTCCCAACCTTATCTTGTCTATTTAAAACACAGACCATCTATCGCCCCAAGTATTATCCCCCTCTCCACCTTATGTCTATTTAAAACACAGACTTCTGTGACATCCCCCCTCCCCACCTTATCAAGTCTAATTAAAACACAGACCTCCTGTCGTCTCTGTAACAGCATGTCCAACCTGTCGTTGGCGCGTTTGGTCTGTTGCTTCTGTCGCTCAGCCTCGTACTGTCGCTGGGTGTTATCTAAGTTGATACTTAAGTTAAGTGCCACATCTACCAGAGCTGTCATCAACTTCATGGCTGAAAATGAAACGGGGGGGAAAATGAGTGTGAATACCATCTTTAGTTTACTAACCTTAAACCATTAAAATTTCTTTCTTGTTTTACTCTCTTATAATTTCAACAATAGACCCATTTTTTATGGAACAAAGGGTCATAAATCTGAATATATATACTGACGGACAGTGCAAACCAACACTTTTCTCTGGTGTTCAGATTAGGGTTTGTTTGGTTTGGTTAAATATTGTTTAAGATTAGGATTCAATAAATGAATCTAACTTAACTCAGACATGCAAACCTATATTTTTCTCTGGTATACAGATAAGGGGCTAAATAAACGTACAAACCTTGTCTTACAATGTAAGCTAGTACTTACCAGCTAATGTTGATGTGTGTCTGAAGGCACGGACTTGCGAGTCGGTGAGCCCGGTGAGGAGGGAAATGATGTTGTCCATCATGTACTGGTCGTAGATGATACTGTACTGACACTGCCGTACCAACACCTGTACGTACTCACAGAAGTTGGAGCGGAACTTCTTCCACTGCGGCCCACTCATTATCAGTGGGTAGTCACCACTGTCCTGGAACCAACAGTACATCACACATCAAACAACACTCATAGCATTAGGACGCCCCAGAAAAGTAAGGCCAACTAAAAATGATCTTGTGTTTTCGCTAAACACTTCCTTTCCTAGATTTGTGTGCCTACCCTTAAGTTTTTATTGGCATTTAGTGAAATGCACTGTTATGGTCAAACTCCTACTCTATATAAGCATAGTAAAATTTGTTCAAAGATTAAGAGAATTGCCTGCCTTTTTCTGCTCTCTGTCAGACTCAGTGACATTGTAACATTGAATTATGATGCCACTAACATTTTTTCTGTGACAATGGCTGTTCCACAATTTAACATATGGGAAGGAATAGGAGGCATTTTTACACAGACCCCAACCATTCAAACATCCATCAAATACATAATTAACTTATATAAGGAATAGTAGCCAACTTTGGATTTGTCCCCACCACCCATATTATTTTAACGAAAGTGCCTTGGAATAGCCCTTATAAACTAAGTGTTTCTCTCTAATGCAATTAACCCTTAGGCTGCTACATTGATTTCTATGTAAAGGGACACCACTGCTGAATTAATTATTGAAATTTAAATTAATTTACTTGATTTTTCAAATGTGCATAACTTTGAAAATACTTGTTATATGGGAAAAAAAGTCGTATGAGAATTGTTTGTTGTTGTCTCTAGCTTATATAGACGTTTTCAATTCTAAAGTTGCTTCAGTATTTACCTGTACAGGTGGTAATAAAGGTAAGAAAATGTGAAACTTTTAATTAATGGGATTTAAGCAAGAGAAAGATCATTTTAAAATTATTTTTGTCCGCAAATGGGATTGGCAAATGATAACAAAGATTATAAACTTCATTTTTGACATCAGACGCTGTATATTTACACAGAGATTCTCAGGTAAAAAGGTCAAGTATTTCGTAAAGAATTGCATGGGATTTTCTGCAGGTTTCAGGTCGCCATTCAATACATTTACTGTCACAGTCGGCATATAGATATATCTTAGCTACGGTCTAGTTTATGATTAAATCACTGATAAAAAGTTTGAAGAAATAAATCGGCTCAAAACGTATCAATGTCAATGTTCAATTCGGCCTCACCTGCAGACGACATGTGCGCCTTGGTCCGCCGATATTTTCCTGTTTGCGTAGGGCACAAAGCCGTTTATTGGAAAGTAACATAGTATGTTACACCAAAGTATTTCCACATCAACCATGTCAAACCCTTCAAAACCTTTATTATCATCGTAGGTGACAATGTACAATAAATGTTTACCATCATATTCATCGCTTCAATCTACACGTCAGCCATTTTTATGATGTTTTTTTCGATTTGAAATTCTCTCGCACACCTTTGGTTATTACTAGCGTACACTGCCGTGAATATCGAAAGTAATGACAAAACAACCAATCAGAAGCCTTCTACTATACACGTTCAAGTTTGGTATAGCAACAACCCGACTTCAAACTTACTGGCTACCAAAAAAAGGAAAACAATGCACTCTTGTGTTTCTAAGCAATATTTTCAAATGATGCTGCAACAGATCTAATCATCGAATTCCTACCTCATCAAACTCCTCTGTCATTTTCCTGATGATTTCGGAGTGTTCTTGGTTGGCGTACATGTAAGGGCTGATCTTGCCTTTACAGCCGGAGGACTGCACAAAGAACTGGATCAGCTCTAGCAGTGCAGCATCTCTGTCATTCTTGTATTTTTCAATCCAGTCATCCACGGAAGACTGTAGCAAAGAAGAAAGGAGGAAAAAATATAAACATAGATTCACTTGTCCTCAGCTATCTTTATATTACCTTTTTCATTCTAATATTGGAGGACAAAAAGGGAATATTAGATGCACAGAAATAAATTGCAGAGTTTCTGATATAAAGTATTTATTTCAGTAAAGAAATGCCAAAAATGTTTAGAGTATCTGCAACCTTTATAATGGAAGGTAAGTGCAGGGATAATCCTGGAGGGGGGCCATGGGGCCATTGACCCCTCAAAACTGAAACTGACCCCTCCATTTTCTTTCAATTTTACATAGAATGGCCCCTCCAAGTTGTGAAATAGGCTAAAAATTGCTGAAAATGGCCCACTGCTCTCAAATTCCAGGATTTTCCCTGAATGGGAAAGTCATAGGGGTTAAGGGTACGTAGTTGCATTTGTTTGATTCAGAATGAAATAGACCTACTGACCTGTAGTGAAGATCGTCCTCCCCTAACCACGTCAAACATACTGCCAGTACCTGCATCCTCCTCCTCCCCACTCTTCTTTCTCCCCCGGCCACCTCCTCCACCGCCAGCTTTCCTTTGACGACCCTGAAGTGGGCAATACATAAACATCATCAACTACAACACTTCACCAGAAGATAAATTTTGTAGGATGATTAACATAGTGTGGAATTTTTCACGAGTGGAAAAGTTTGTGTCTTTAACTCTTTGACTTAATTGCGGTGTGAAAATTTTCCCATTAGTAGTGGTTCTGAAATAATCTCATTTTTATGGCAATTTACCCAACACGATAAACTTGAGGAAACTGCAGATATTTTCACCTTACATTATACAATGAACTGCAATAAATTTATCAAAGAACAGTGTCACAATTCATCTGCTTTAATCTATAAACTGTAGTCTATAACAAGAGGCCCAAGGGCCTTAGCGGTCACCTGAGTTATATCATAGGTACTGGTAGCTTTATTTTATTGTTTAGATGTGATGTGGAAATCAGCATGTAAACTAAGTGAAATACAATACTTGTCATGTCATCAATGGATAAGAATTTGAAAATATTGGTAAATGTTCCCTTTGGGGCCCCGCCCTAGCCCCTGGGGATGGGGCAGGAATCCTAATTTTACAAAGTAAAACTCTCATTTACCCAAGATGATTCTGACTAAGTTTGAGCAATTTTCTGCTGAAAATGGATAAAATATATACCGAAAAGTGTTATTTCCCTATATAAACTATATTAAACGTTAACCCCTCCCCAAGGGAGAACGGATAGCTCGGGGTCCTGATATTTTCAATTTAAATAAAGCCCCTGATGATCTTTCTTTCCACGTAAAGAAAATCACTGTAGTACCTCTGAGTCTGGAGAAGAAGATTTTTGAAATATTGATTAATTTTCCCTTTGGGGCCCCGCCCTGGCCCCAGGGGTCGGGGTAGGAATCTCAATTTTACAATTTGAAACCATCTACCTCCAAGGATAATTCTCACCAAGTAAAAATAATTTCCTACAGAAAGTTGTCAAAATATACCCAAAAGTGTTATTTCCCTATATAAACTATAGTAAACTTTACCCCCTCCCCAAGGGAGAACGGATAGCTCGGGGGTCCTGAAATTTACAATTTAAGTAAAGCCCCTGATGATCTTTCTTTCCACGTAGAGAAAATCACTGTAGTACCTCTGAGTCTGGAGAAGAAGATTTTTGAAATATTGATTAATTTTCCCTTTGGGGCCCCGCCCTGGCCCCAGGGGTTGGGGTAGGAATCCCAATTTTACAATTTTGAAGCCTCATCTACCAAGGATGATTCTGACCAAGTTTGAAAAAAATCCATCCACTGGTTCTTGAGAAGAAGTTGAAAATGTAAAAGTTTACGCACGACGGACGACGGACGACGGACGACAACGACGGACGAAAAGCGATTGGAATAGGTCACTTGAGCAAAGCTCAGGTGACCTAAAAACCATTAACCACACTTCATATCTGAAATAACATTATAATAATCATTTTTTTTAAAGATTTATTTCACCTGTTTGCTACTGTTTCTAGATTTTCAAAAGTGTAAGAGTAACCGGGACAGCTTGTATGATAATTTGAATATTTATTATTTCATTTGACATATCTTTGCAACCTATTTCATAGGCAGAACCAATGATGAACCTGACAAAGGTTGGCAGGACTGTTGTGAAATTTTTACCAGCCCTGAAATAAAATCTACAAGTCACAAGCACTAATTGAGTTGTTCTCCCCTGACTTTATACAGTGTGTACTTGTAAAGGAAAAGCTGGTCATTTAGGAGGCACAGTAGTCTAGTGGAAGGGCGAATGGGCTCGTGACCGAAGGGTGGCGGGTTCGAGTCACAGCACATCACTGTGTTGTATCTTTAACTCATTCACCCCTGAAATTTCATAATGGACTATTCCAACCTTTGAACTGGAAGAGTTCGAATGTGTCTTCAGGGGTGAATGAGTTAAGCAAGATACTTTACTCCGCTTGTTCCAGTCTACTCAGCTGTAAATGAGTATGTGGTTGGGCAGTGCTAGAATTGTAGAATGCTAGCTGTGAAGGTCGAAATGGCAGCACATGCTGTATGCTTCCAAGGGAGTTGAGAAAGATATTGGCTGGTTGCAAAGGCCCTATAACCATGGATAATAATTTATGAACCGGTTTGAGACGAGCTACAAACTAGGTTGTGATAAAGCAGTATATAAGAACCTCAAATTATTATTATTTATTATAATACACATATAATGTCCTGAATGGGAGAGAAATTTTTTTTTTTTGAGAAATCTGATGGAAAGGCTGAAGAGTTTCAAAATAACTTATATTTAACTCTATTAACTGTCAGCCCCTATTACCTGAGCTGTGGCTGATTTATACAGTAATACATGTATCATTTGAGATGTTATCAGTTTATAAGTGAATGACTTACACCCCCTTCAGGTGCTTTCCTCTGGCGTTTCCTTTTGGCAGCTGCGACGATCACATGGGCTGGTTCTTCAAAGTCACTGTCGCTTTCTCGGTCATTGTGACTTTCTGGGCTGTAAATCACGTAAACAAAAACAATGACTACCGGGATCAACTAAACTGGAAGGATGTTGATTATATACATTTGTAAGTACTTTTTTCAAGTTTTCATCATTCATTATTTCAGTAACATTTCAAAAATTCATCGCAACAATTACAATGCTTCTTTGGTCCATTTCAATTCTGTTTCGAATTTCCTACCATCAGAAACTAGAAAAAAATATTATGACCTCAGTGTTCTTTCGTTTAATTTGGAAAAGGGCCTTTATATCTCATGTTGGGAAGAAAATATACCTATTTGGAAGGAAATTTTCAAGAGTAAACTGCAAAATTTGGGAATTAGGCATTAATATGCAAAACGTTCAATTTGGAATGGTGCCCATTCATTTAATGGCCCTAAGAAGTCCCAAAAATACACGAAAATCAACACTGTATTAATGACCTGGGCTGACAAGTTTATGTTGTGTCTACCACATAAAGCTTGCAAGCTTCAAAGGGTGCACTACACAAAATTTTGCAATTTTTTATACCACTTTGTTTGCATTTAGTTTTTTAATTTCCATTGATGCACCCAAGAATTTCCATCAATATGATTTACTTTGCAGATTTGCAAAACAAATTTCAAAACTCTTGCCTGGTGGAACTACACAAATTTGAATGCCTAAGCTTAAATCTAAATCAGCAACTTGATATACCTGACCAGAAATTATACCGTTAAATTGATTTTTTTTTTTATATTTTTCTAAAAAGAAAAAAAACAGGATAAAAATGGTTTAGCTCTTCTCCACATACACAGATATCTCTGACGAAGGTTCCACAGGAGCTGCCACAGGCTCGGCCTTCTTCTTCTGCCGCTTTGCTGCAGGCATCTTCTTTGTTGATACTTACACTAATCCTGGAATCTGAATTAATAAGAAATGTACTTTAATTAACATAACAAATGTACATTGGTGAGAAATTAGGACTGTTATTTTTAATGTATAACTTATTATCATTTCATCAACTAGCATATAATTGCAAATTGATGGAGTTCAAAAAGTTTTTGTTTTTAACATTGATTTTTCCAAGTATCATTCAGTGATCAGTTTATAATTTATTTTCATGGGTCCTTTTCAACAATTTTGCTAAAAACAATAAGTTTCAAAATGTTAAACTTAAGTATTTCTACTGAAGTCATTCACAACTGGTGAAAAATACCCTTTTTGACATCCTGACAGTTCTTCAGGATATTGTTTGAACATACAAAAATGTCCTTGTTATTTCTCATAGCAAATAATTAAATTATGAACATAATGGAGATGCTTTATTTTAGACACATTTATTGAGTGTGTGGTATTGTTCAAAACTATTACAACAATGCAATTTATTTACCATAAAATATCTTTAACATGTTACACGAAGTGTTTTTGTTGAAATTGTATGGATAAAAGTTATGATATACAAGTTAAAAGGAAACAAGACACATAGTTTCATACAAACAAATCAAAAAATTGAACCAAATACACACAAAGTCTTACAGCCAGAGGGATAGAATTTATACAATGACAGTTATTTTCTTTACTATACCAAAAACGACGAAAATGAATTAAATTCCTATATTAAATTGTCAATTTACTGTTCTATTATGGAACAGAATTACTCTCAATCATGTAACGTTAGTGCAGGCAAATTCGCTATGCACCCAAATTCGCCACCCTGTGACGAAAATGCCATATGACCTCATAATACATAAAATGTGACGTAAATAACGTCACCATAGTATTCAACACAGTTAAAGCCTTCCAATATTTTGACAAGAAGAGGTTTAAGAAGGGAAAAGCTATACTTTTAATCAAAACAGTTATGAAATATCTTGTAACACAACAAAACTTAAAAATTTGGTCTGTGCGACGGACATCTCGTCAACTAAACTCATTAATCTGAGGCCAGTTGGTTGTTATTTAGTGTAAATTTATTACATACACATGAAAATACCCATATCTTAACGCTTATTGCAGTTAATGCAAGTAAATTGTTTTTCTACAAGTGTACTTTGGTACATGTACAATGTACTGACGATCCACTGCGTGTTTATGGAAATGACGATCGGAAAGATTCGCGAGTTGATAATTCGTCAGTTTTCATTTTCATGCAATGTGTTTTTAGAATACAATCAACCAGTATCTTTTTAAAAGTATTGTTTGCGTCTTACATTCAACAATCTTACAACACTTAAATTAAAATACCATCTAGAAATTTTCTAGATTTATATCTGAAAGGAATTAGTTGTCGGCCTGAAAGTACTGCTGTACAATCGCATGCTGATTGTACGTAGAGACCGACATTTACCAAAGACTGAGTTTTACATGAAAAAGTAAGTACATTTACAACACCTGGCCGGGCAGTCTTTGTTGAATAAGTTTTCAAGCCCAAGAAAATCGTTTTTATTTGTCAGATGTTTCCCGTTGACGTGCAAGACTATCGGATACGTACATATGTGACAAATTATCAAAAAAGACGGGGGGCGATCGTTGAAAGCCCTGGACCCTCTCATCCTGACCCGATAAAAATTATAATATTGGGCAGCGATTTGGAAGTTTATATTTGTTAAGGACAGAGTCTTTATTGCGTATCATGTAAATTGACATCATCTCAGCCGATACCCGTCATCTTTCTCAAACAACATTAGTCAGTTTCTTCAAGTTACCGAAAACTAACTATCACAACTAAGAAAAGCCATGTATTTCAATGTTAATCATTGTTACAAACACACATTTGGAGCTGTTCGTATTAGTACGGCTTGTGTAACATAAACATACAACATTTTACATTTAAACACTTAGATCACTTGTAAATTAGTTAAATGTTTGAAGGTGGCGAAACTGCCTGCACCTTTGAGCAAAACCACGGAAGGCCTGATGACGTCACAAATGTTGCTGCGTGACGTCATTCAGGCGTGTTTACAACAATGTTTATTTATAGGCATTTCAGTCGAATCTTCTTCTGTATTGGTGCTCGTCGGCATTTTGATACATGCCTATTTGGTCGAATTATTAACAGAAACCCTATCTAATGTGACGAATTTGCCTTCACTGACGTTACACTTTTGGACATCATGCCATAGCCCGCTTATGCATGGTATACATAGGCTATTGAATGGTATACTGCCATCACGTCTGCATTCCATGCGCCTCATATATGACCTTCTTGAAATCCTCTGGTCTTATGTCAGTGTCTTTCCGTGAGTTGATTAATGTCGTTGTATCATAAGCTTTACACATTTCCAAGTTAAGTCTCGATATCGGGAGTCGACATATCATCGTCACGCACGTGTACTATTGTTTACCCGATGTTACTATAATTTACACTACGGTAATGGAATGCCCGATACGCAGTACGGAGATGATGACACGAAAATCTGACAAGAAAAACATGTGTATTACGAAGGGTAGGAAGTCGTTAAAGGAAAGCCAATTTAGGTTTTCAACAATATTGATAGCGTCCAAAGGGAGATAACACCTACGTCGTACCTAATGTTTTCATTCGAAGGTTTGTATATGAATGCAGCTTGTGTACAAGTTTCATTTTTCAGAAAATAAACACGACACTATAATATTTTAATTGTCTCACACACACCAGAATTTCTGGCATTTATTGCTATTTTCCGGGTTATTGGTTTGATACCATTTTTTTGCAAACTGGTCCGATTATTGCTGTAAACTAATGCCTCGCTGTCAACGTTAAGCATTCATGCCTAATTATGCATTTATGTGTCCTATATTTTCCGTCAGACATAACAATTATACGTTAACTATATGTAGAGACAAATGTACGTGTAAACCGGTACCAAACGACCGACGCTTAGCCTCGTCATCAATGAAGGCGGCCATTATGAACTTTCTTTGTAATGTGCATCTGTTTCCTCTATTTACTCAAATTATCTGATAGTTACCAGTAAAAATCAAACTTCATAATGTCTGAAAGATAATTCGAAATACATATATTATTTTTCAACCTTATTGCACCCATAGATTAACGGCAAAACGTCAGAAAATCACACACACTTACCCGTGGCGGGAACGATGCACTACTACGCGAAGTACCGGATGTAAACATTGATCATGTGATCCTTATCGAGAGTAGGCACCCTTGTTCAATTCCCGCCAAAATACAAAATATGTCTGCTTCACGACTTGAAGAACATCGATTCCAATTTTAAATCTCTGAATCTCGTAGGTCAAGGTGACCTGTTGATTTGCCCATTATTTGTCTTGCATGTTGTTAAATCGAGTTAGCGGTTTTAGCAGTCACCAGAGACGCCAGATTCATTTTAAAATTCCCTCCGATTGTTTTTCGGTCCCAGCTAGGTAACTCAGTTTGAAATATAACTGTTTTCTTTGTATGCAGTTCTGAATAAGTCTTAAAATTGTACCATTGACAATAACTGTTTTTGCGTTCTTTCACTTAAAAATACAAAATATCAAAGTTCTGTCCAGTTCATTTGTAAAACATTATCATCATCATTATCATCATCAACAACAACAACAACAACAACACTATAATGCACATCTAATGAAACTTTACCAAGCAATGCTTTATTTTTTAAATTATGACTTGTTGCAACGAGATTATGGTTCCGGCAGAAATTAATAGTTTTAGAAAATTCTAGAAAACTTTACCTTCTAAGTATCTGAGATTATCGAGTAAATATGAGACAAAAACTCAGGCTGGTAACAGATAACACGATTTATTGAAGTCTTCAAATGTATAAAACCGTTTTATGCTCAAACGCAAATTTGATTAAAAAATCTCTTGACATTATTCAGTATATAATTTAATTTCCATTTTTTGGCCGATGAAGAACAAAACAGCTGTATTGTGCAGTGTAACAAAACAGCTGTATTGTGCAGTGTAACAAAACAGCTGTATTGCGCAGTGTAACAAAACAACTGTATTGTGCAGTGTAACTCATTTTTGGTGTAATGTTTAAATTACCATTTTAAAGGCGCATGTGTGTCATTTACGTTCATCTTTAGTATCATGTTTTATACTGCTGTACATTCGTGGCATATATTTTTCGCGGTGAAATTGCGGTTAAGCCATTTTCTTGGTTTGTGTTTATATGAATTTCGTAGAATGGGTACTTGACACAACTTGGCAGGGCAAACGCATAAACGCACATTCTCGGGCATTTCAGTCAAGCTCGCGAAAAATAGAAATGGCCTTGACTTTGAGCACACGTGCTGATTGATCGATATGGGTAACGACATTGTTAGGATAAATAGTATGAAACAGAAAATAAACAATACCACTTTCCACACCTGGGTATACATGTGTATATTTATAGAACACGTTATTATGATAGCCAACGAAGAGGACAATAGTTGACAAGTCATGAAAAGGTAGTATAACAGGTGTGAAAAGCAAGCATACCTATAAGCAAAGGAAAACAAAAATAGAATACAGTGATAATCAGGGGCGTTTCTAGGATATTTGAAAGAGGGGGCGTAGAATCAAATCTTTTTGGAACTTTTTTTTTGCTAAAAAACATTAAATAATTGTGAAATGCACTAATGTAACGGTTCCTGACTTGGAGCATGTATATTTTATAGTTAAAGTGTCAGGGTTTGACATTTTTTATGCCGAATTCTCTCCATTAATTGTCTATGGTATATTAATGATTGGATGGATCNGGGGGGGCGTACGCCCATTACGCCCTCACCTGAACCCGCCCCTGATAATAGGAATCAAACAATGGGTGGACAATAGCACACCCAATATCCACCGCAGAGTTACGGTCCTTGCTCTCCCTTTAATATAACATGTTGTGTGTGATTGAAAAGGAACGACAACTCTGGGTAGAGATTGTAGCACACCCTCTTTTTTCTTGGGGGCGGTAACTCTTGTTCACTATGGAGTATCCCGTCTATAAATTGGTGATTTGACTAAGATTATTTAACCCTTTCACCACTGAAGACCATAATGGACTCATCCAGATCAATACATGGTAGAGTCTACTGAAGTTACAAAAAGAGTTGAAAGGGTTAATATAAAATTACATCGTGATCCCTCTATTTTATTCTAGTGGAAAATTGTTTTCGATGCAAATGTTCATTCAAATTTAGATATTTTCTCAGTTTTTAAGAATTCGAAAGAGGGATAAGATTTTGTTAGAAAATTACCAGAACTAAATTATATCAAATTAAAAAAAAAAACATTTAAAAGAGTGTTAGTGAGAATAACATTTCGCATCTAAGGTAAAATTGTTTTCCATTCAAATTTCCATTCAAAAACTCTTTTCCTATTTTTTAAGAGTACGAGTGAGGAATCCGTTTTTGTTAGAAAACTAAAAGAATTAAATTGTATCAAATTAAAAACAAAAACAACTCATTTAAAATAATATCAAAAAGGTTCGTATTAGACTGGCCCCTGTCTCCAGAATATTGAGCCATTTAGAGAGAAAAAAAATACTCTAATAATTTTTATCACTTGGATGTCTGATTCTAGTTCTAAACTAGGGGGAGATAAGCTAGTAGTAAAATGCAGCCAGGAAATCCTCATAAAAACTTAGGGTCTGGTAGCCGGTCCATGTTCGTACTAATATAACTGAAATAATGAATAACTCTAACACCAGGGCCAGCCTTACAGGTGTAGTGGATGGCCTATCGATCGTTAGACATTTTGAGGCGCTCTATGGGCGCTCTTGACAGGATTTCAGGAGTTTATTTCAGCGGTCCGCTATAAGGGGGGAACTGTTCATGAATCACAACTAAAATGATTTTTTTCTCCACTTTTTGTAATTCCGGATATCATAAACATTGCCGCTAATCCTGTTCCCAGTCTTCAGTTCATAGTCTGTATTTAGCGGGAAACCATTGTGTAATCTCTAGATAAAGTAACACTGTCCAATAATGTGTTAATTTCGTCAGTCTTTTGTTACCTGTAACTAATAACAAGGGTGATCTAGCTTATGAAACACCCTCTCGCTTTTGTCAATGATAAAGTACGTTGCTATGCTGTTCATATTTCATGCCTTACCAATTATCACAGTACATTTCTGAAATGGTACTTGGACGATGGAGACTCGCTACGAATAGTGCTTAAACAAAACTGACTCTAGCAGTATTTGCCCAAAAGGAGCAACCGATTGGTATTGGGATTACAAAGGTAAGATGCGTACTTATTTTTATTTGAGCCCTCTTGGTGTGAATTGTAAATTAACTTTGACGATTTAGTAGAATACCATTCATGGCAGCGTCATGGTAGAAAGAAAGTCATTGTATATTTTTGAGGTAACGAGTCCATTATTGACAGTTATAAGTATAGTAAAACAATGTAGGCACGAAGTCATTGAATATGTTTTTATTTAACGAGTTTGTTATTAACAGTAATAGGTAACGTAAAATAATGTAGGAAGAACATCATTGTGTATTTTTGAGGTAACGAGTCCATTGTTGACAGTTAAAAGTATAGTAAAACAATGTAGGCACGAAGTCATTGAATATGTTTTATTTAACGAGTTTATTATTAACAGTAATAGGTAACGTAAAATAATGTAGGAAGAACATCATTGTATATTTTTTATGTAACAAGTTTTTATTGACAGTTATAAGCAAAGTAAAATAATGTAGAACTTTGGAATAATTGTATATTTTTTATGTAACGAGTTTATTATTGACAGTTACAAGCATAGTAAATAATGTAGGAAGGAAATCACTGGACATTTTTATGTAACGAGTTATTTATTGACAGTAATAATAATAAGTATAATAATATAATGTAGGAACGATTTTTTTTTATTTTTTTTTGTATGTAACGAGTTTATTATTGACAGTAATAAGTATAGTAAAATCATTTAGGAAGGACATCATTGTTTATTTTTTATGTAACGATTTTTTTTGACAGTTGTAAGTTTATTAAAATAATGAAGGAAAGAAACCATTGTATACATTTTATGTAACGAGTTATTTATTGGTAGTATGGTGAATAATGTCGTCACCTCTGGTTTGCCATTTCGTATGTAGCGTAACAGGCCTAAAGAAACAAATTGCAAGGAAATAGCAATGATGATCAGTTTCAAATGATAATTCCAAAGGGCTGCTGCCAAAAAAATGTACCTAAATATGAAAACTGTTGTTTTTTTCGGGCATGATTTTAGCTTTGATAAATCTTTTCTAAAAAGAAAATCATACCTTGCAGGACTTTTTATGTCAAAAAGATAATCTCCAAAAATGTTGTGAATGTATGAATGTACAATTTCAGCGTAATCAGACCAGGATTCGAACCCCGGACCTCATATTGTTATATTGTCTATCAACTTATCTATCTGGTCAATGGGAGTTTTTTGTCCGATCGCGTTAGTCATATCGAAAAAAAGAAAGGTAGGTTAGTGTTTATACGAAAACGAAAAGCTACAATTGAAACTCTAGTGTTGTGCCATCAGAGGGACAAGGATTCTTAAAATAGACGTTCGCATATACTAACAACAGAGGATAGAGACAATTGAATTATCGTTATGCAACGAGTTCATTATTTATATTAAGGTACATTTTAAGATAAGAGTGAATGATGTATGAAATATTACGGAAAAAAATACTTCTTCATATAAGTAAAGGATACGAGACAACCTTTTTATAAAAAAATACTATCAGGATGCAAAATATGCTTGATAAGGTTGTAAATGTTATGTCCATATATAAACTTTATTTATTTTACAACGATTATGAAACAAGTTATTTCAACTTATATTAATCACTCTTGTTGGACCGGATGTTCGCTCGTGTGGGGTCTTAGTGTGGGAGGAAACCGGAGTACCCGGAGAAAACCCTCGTGTTCGGGCAGGTGACCCCAACCTTTTCACGTCCGATCGGGGAAATCTTCGAGATCGGATATGTGTGAAACGATTCTAGGCATGAACAGAATTAATAGTGAAATTGAAAAAAGGAAACTAAACTTTCTACAGTGTCTAATTAGTAACTCGCCAAATAGTACAACAAAGGATATCTTCATTCGTAGACTCTTGAAATTCTTAGAACATGATGAATGGTCGAAGAAACCGGGTGGATTCGTGCTAGATATAGTTGACATTCTTCAAAAATACAAATTAACATCGTATAT